CTGGAAGCCTTGCAGGCAGTCACAGCTCTCTGCCTCTTTCCGCACAACATCCAGGACTGAGTCAACCAGCTCAGCCCCTTCTGTATAGTGGCCCTTTGCCCAGTTGTTGCCTGCCCCAGACTGACCTGGAATGGGGTTGAGAAAAACAAAAGTCTATTACTGACTGCATCTCCATTAGAGGTTTCAGAACAGTCTTGAATTTGCACTCCAGCAAATCATCTAACTTTTGCTGTCTCTTCCCACCTGTAAGTTGAACAACAGTACCTGTAACTTACCAAAAACAAAGTTGTCTGGTCTGAAAATCTGACCAAAAGGACCCGAGCGAACAGAGTCCATGGTTCCAGGTTCTAGATCCACCAAGATGGCACGAGGAACATATTTGCCACCTACAGGAAATCAAACAGATGCATCAGAGTCTGCAGTGGGTAAGGTTAAGTAGATCGCGGTTGAGACAGCTGCAGACCCACACTTGTCACTCCAAGTCTTGCCACCAGGTGGCAGGAGAGTCCACCTTTAGCCTCCTTACGGTGGGTTCCGTAAAATGATGGATTCATCCAACTGGGCTAACAAGTCACGAAATGTACAGATCTGGGATTAGTGGGGAAGGAAATAGGACCCGGGCTACCCGGGTTCTTGCCCTCACCTGTGGCTTCATTGTAGTACACAGAAATGCGGTCCAGCTGTAGGTCGCTGTCTCCGTGGTAGGTACCGGTAGGGTCAATGCCGTGTTCATCGCTGATCACTTCCCAGAACTGTAGGAGGAGAACGATAAACCCTCAACAGCTCAATTCTCAGCCAAATATGCCTCCCAGACCGGCTCATGGTAAACTATTATAGGCAGCTAACGTCTACAAAACTTCTGGCCACCGCCCCTTCACCCCGGGTACGAAAGACAGCCCGAAATAAGGAGCCGCTGCCGCAGTAGACCACCCCGCCCTCCACGTGACTGCGGTGCACGAGCACGTAAAACCGACGACAAAGGGAAGCTACGCGCGTGGGCGGGGCCAAGAGCACAAATTCGCCGGACGAGGGGCGGGGCTCAGCTCGAAGCTAGCGCGCCCCCGACAGCGGGCAGGGCCGCATTGTCCCCGCGCGCCAGCGGTGCCTGGGCCCCGCCCTTCTGCTACAACGTAGCAGCCGCACTTCCTCCTGCCCCTCCCCCACTACACTGTAACCGCGCGCAAAAAAAAAAAAAAAAAAAAAAAAACCTCCCTATAGCCACAAATTGTATTCCTTGCTAGCTTGCTTCTTCTCCCTTGCTTTAAAATACTTTCTCCCACATTTAGTCTTGAGGAACCTTTTAAAGAAGAGCTCATCCTCTACTTTTCTCTAATGCTTTCTTATCTGTTCACGCCCTATAAAGGTCTCGATTAGGGGAAATTAAAGTAAAACCAAGCCCCTGCACATTATCGTTCCAGCCACAGGAAGCTACGGGAATGCCTAAAAGGGATCGTGGGCGCGCAGGGGTCCCCGATTCTTTGTGCAGGATAAGGCGCAGTGCAGCCCACCCGGGCGCATCGTGTCCGCCACCTTTGCATAGGAGCTTCCTGCAGCTGCCCGCCCAGTCTCGCCCCTTCCCCCTTCGGTTTTGCTCTACGAAGCCCCGCCAAGGGGGGGAGGGAATAGGCGGGATCCACATGGGGAAAACCTCGCCTCGCTTTGTCTCGGACCGTTTCCGCATCTCTCTGGTCCTCGACCGTTAGAAAACCCCCTTTTTAAGTAAGATCTTACAGCTCATTAGTCTCTCCGACCCCCCCCACCCCACGCCAGAAAGATCCTTTCAATAGCTTTCCCAAAATGTGCCTGCCAAAGAAAATAACGCCCCATTTTTCAAAATCAAATGCTAGGTACAAATGTGCATATTTATATGGGAAAAACTTTTTGGGGGAAAGCGAAGCTTGATTAAGGATGAAAAACGCAAACGCCCCAGCCATTCTTCACAGTTAACTAGGATTTTGCATTCTACGAAGAAATTATAGTTAAAAGGAGAGGCTTAAAATTCTTACCTTGGCACCGATCTGGTTGCCACACTGACCGGCCTGGATGTGCACGATTTCCCTCATGGTTAAAAATTTATTTTAATTTTTTTTGCTCGCCTCAAGGTATGTACGGGGCAAGGTATGTAAGGTTTTTTTTTCTGTGCTGGTTTCGGGCTGAAAGGATGGGACGCGCCCCGGAGGCTGGAGCAGCGAGATCCGCACGCGACGGCAGGAAGATTCTGAGAGGCAGAAGATAGCGGAGGGCGAAGGAGGGAAGGCGGACAGGGCGGGGCGCGCGTGCGCGGGGCTGGGAGGCGGGAGAACGGCGCCCGCGCAGCGGTCGGAAGACAAAGCCTGCTCCAGTGTGGCCCTGATTAGACGAGACCGATCACGTACTAGACCGTCCATTGGTCCCTTTGCCAGCAGATGAGCGCAGTCATCTCTGGGAGTTGTAGTCCTCTATTGTCCACGCTGCAAAATGAAGTTACAATTGGGTGGGTACTGGGTTTTTTGCTTTTTGTGGTTATCTCATTTTCTTTTTAATGAAAAATGTCTTTGCACAAAATTTCTTTCTTTTATGCCAGAGTTTTTTTGTACAAAAAGGAAACAGTTTTTGAGGATACAAGAATTGGGAAATCTGGGGGGCCAGGAGTTGGGAGGTGGGATAGGCACGCCCTGAAAGCTCCACACTGCGGTAGCTCTCGGGAAGACAGGACCGCTTAGCTCAGCGAAAACTGGCGAAGTGGGGGCATCCTGCTAACATAACATCTGATCCTTTGTTGACCCAGGGCATGAACTTCTACACTGCTGCTCCCCCACATACTTCAGCAAAAAGAAAGGGATTGCCCTTCTATTTCCTTGGGAGTTTTCGAGTGATAATGTTTCAAAAGAGAAACAAAATTTGCAGCAAAGGCTTTTCAAAATACAGATGTTGTATGGAGGATTCAAAGAATAAACTAAATAGTTTAGAGCAACTGAGATCTGGATTTGAGAAGCCAAAACTCACCGTCCATGTAGATCTGGGCCTTAGGGCAGATTTGAAGACACCTTGATCATCTTGTCACAAGGTAACTATGTCAAAAGGGAACTGTGGGGTGAGATACCTAATAGAATTTCAGTGTCTTTCCGTCCTATCTCTCTTAGACACTGTGATGAGTCACTGGTTTTTCAAGTCTCTGAGTTCATTGACCAGGTGCAGCCATGGCAGAGCCCCAGGATTGAAATGGGATGGGGGGGAAATTGGATTGCTCAAATTAGAGTCCATCTGTTTCTTCCCAGGGATTTACTCACTTTCATTTGATGAATAAGTATCCACCAAAGCAGGAACCAGGGATATAAAAATGATTAAGAATTTCTGAACACTGGCTCATGCCTGTGATCTTAGCTACTTGTGAGGGTGAGATTGGGAGGATAGTGGTTTAAGGCCAGCCTGGGCAAACAGTTCTCCAGACTCCAAAATAACTAGAGTAAAATGGACTGAAGGTGTGGCTCAAAGGTAGAGCACCTGCTTTGCAAGTGCAAAGCCCTAAATTCAAACCCCAGTTTCAATACCAAAAAAACAAAACAAACAACAACAAAAAGAATTATCTCCCTGACCTTCAGGATCTTGCAGTTTGTTGAGCAGAGTATAACACGAGTCTGGTGAGCACTGTAATAAAGATGTAATATTGGGCTGGAGGCATGACTCAAGTGATAGAGGGTCTGCCTAGCAAGAGTAAAGCCCTGGATTCAAACCCAGGGAGTCAGATGTGATACCAAGGTCATTTGTGTTATCAATACACAGATCAACACATTTCTAAGTTACCACAAAATGTGTAAGATCCCTCCACTCATTGAAAATAGAATATTTTATGATTTCTTTTTTTTGGGGGGGGGCTGGGGTTTGAAGTCACTCAGGGCCTCCCGTTTACTAAACAAGCACCTTACCACTTGAGCCACACCCCAATCCAGAATGTTTTGTTTTAGGACATCCTCAAATATGCTGTTAGTGGAAAGAATGAATTTCATAGATTTCAATTTGTCTCTACTTTATATTTGCTGTAGGAACCTAGACAAGTCATATAACTTCACAGAGCTTCAAATGTCTCGTTTGTAAAATCGATTTCAGCTTATTTGATTGTTGTGGACATAACTGAACTAATGGGAAAGAGCTCCCTAGATTAAATACACGTCATAGTCTTGCTATTCTCTTCCTGATTTATGATAAATAATGAAACAAATTATTTTATCACACTTTCCTCGTCCTTTGAAAGGTAAGGACAAACTTTAAGATGTTAGCAAAACCGTTTCCTCCGTTTAGTTTTTCTTCCATTTAGGAAAATGATCTCAAAATGTCCGTCAGGGCTGTTATCCCCAGGAAGAAATGGCAGGACTTTTACTAAGCAAGCCAAATCAAAAGGAAATGAAATTCCACTGCAATGAAGAGTCCGCAAGTGCCACGCCTACGGGCTGTTCTCCAAACTGCAGCCTCCAGCCACGACTGCATCCCGCAACCCGTTTTCATTTTTCATGAGTCAGCTTACACCATATCTGGGAGGACCAAGGAAAGGCACTCTAGCCGCACCAGAGCACTGAGTGACGTCTATGGTACAGCCCTTCTATCAGCTGCCAGCAGCTGGCGCCAGACTCTGGTCGCGCTCTGCAAATCTGCGCGGGAAGTGGGTGGCTGACCGTGAGGCGGTGGTGGGGCGTCCCTTGGAACTGCCCAATCACGGTGTGCTGTTCTGGGGACGCACGCGTGCCTCGGCTTATCACCTCCATAAATCCGCCTCAGTCTCCCGCCCACAGCTGCCTCTTTGCGCTGAGGGGGATGGGGCGGGGCTTCGAATGTGCCCGGAGTTTCATCAATCAGCGTGCAGCAGGCTGTGAAAGACAGCGACTGGAGCCAATAAGCGATTGACTCCCTTTTTGGGATACGCATTCACTCCACCCTCTTCGCGGCCGTTACTGGTGGCGCGCGCGCGGGGACTCAAACTAGGTGAGTTTCGAGGACCTCGCCCACTGCTCTCCGGGTACCATCTTGGTTCCTCCGGAAGGCGAGAGGGGCGTGCCTTGGGTGCCGCTGGGCAGAGGTAATTTGAAAGTTTGCTTCTCAGATTTTAATACTCATTTTTGCCTGGCGTCCCGGCCCCAGTTTAGGAATGAGGACGCAGGGAAACTTTGGCCCACGAGTGAACCCACGGGGGTGTGGGGATCAAAGATGGTGGCCCTTCAAATTGGAGCCAAGGGTCGTGGGCGCCTGCTGACTTGGCGCGTCAGGATAGAAATACCTCCACGGTGGCGTCCTGTTTTCCATGTTAACAGTTCCCCTATAGGGTAAAATTTCTAGGTAAAATTCCTCCATGCTATTTTGAGTTTCTGCCTTTCATTTGTTCTTTAGTTAGTAGCCTCGTTGATGTAGCCTCCATGAGAGCAGGGTTTATTTTATGTTTGGTTTAGGACGTATCCCAAATAGCTCAATGGTACAGGTGCGCCCTAGTCATCACAGACGCATGTGATGAGCCCTCGGGGGAAAAGACTCACAGACCTGGAAGTGGTATGAAGGACATAGTTACAGTTTAGTTCATAGAGGGTCTCAATAAAGAGTTTAGATTTTAGACAGGGGGCACAGAAAGCCACCAGATAATATTAGACAGGGAGAGAGATTATCTGAGTGATCTTGGGCAAGTCCTTCAACCCATCTATGTTGAAGTTTCTTTATATGGAAAAAATTGGAGACAAATACCTATTTTACAGGGTTCTTGAACAGATTAAATGAGTCAATCAGTATAAAGTAGTTAGCACAGTGCTTGATACATAAGAGCCTCTACATATGTCAGCTGTTCTGTTTGTTTGCACTTTAGTCTGATCATACTGAGGTGATCTGGTAAGTGTAAAAAGCTGGGCTTTGCAGCCAGATGCACATTTAGTTTTGCTTATCTACCTGCCTGCTGTGTTTATCGTGAGCAACATTTAAGGTTTTCAGAATTAGTTCCCTAAATACCTACCTCCTATGGGTACTATACCTGATACAACACATTTGGCACATGTTAATAAAATGGTGTTTTTCAAACTGTGGGCTATGAACCAATAATGGATAGTGAAATCAATTTAGTGAGTTGCAATTCAGCATTTAAAAACTAGAGAGTGGCCAGGCACCAGTGGCTCACATCTGTAATCCTGACTACTTGGGAGGCTGAGATCAGGAGGATAGTGGTCGGAAGCCAGCCTGGCCCAGACCAAAAAAAAAAAGAAAGTGACCCTATCTCAAAAGTACCCAACACAAAAAAGGGCTGGCAGAGTGGCTCAAGTGGTAGAGCCCCTACGTACCAAGTGTGGGGCCTTGAATTTAATCCCCAGTACCCATGTATATTCAAAAATATACATATATATAAATTTTTCAAGTCAGGGTCTCGGTATATAGTCCAGGATGGCCTCAAACTCATGTTCCAACTACTTCAGCCTTCCAAGTGCTGAGATTACAAGCATGAAGTACCTCATCCAGTTCAAAAAAAAATGTTTTTTAATTGGTGGTGATGGGTAGCAAACCCAGAACTTCATGAATGTTAGGCAAATGCTCTACCACTGTGCTACTCTTCTAACTCCCAATGTATTTTTAAATGCTTCAAAAAGATAGTAACAGAATGGTTGGTAGAAAAAGAAGCATCAACCTCCATAACCAGGAATACCCCTAGTTACCATTTTCCCCTAATACTGTGTGTATGAACCTATGATAGGGACGATAATAATGTGTTTCCTTTCCAGATCATGGAAGACACCCAGATTATTGACTGGGATATTGAAGAAGAGGAGACAGAGCAATCCAGTGAATCCTTGGGGGATAGCTTGGAACCTGTAGGGCAACTGCGTATTTTCAGTGGTACCCATGGGCCAGAAAAAGGTCAGGGGTTATTACATGCTAAAGTATGAGTATGGGTCTTTTCTTTTCTTTCTTTCTTTCTTCCTTCCTTCCTTCCTTCCTTCCTTCCCTCCCTCTCTCCCTTCCTCCCTTTCTTCCCTCCCTCCCATTGTTTTTTTTAAATCAGAATCTCACTGTGTAGCCCACATTGGCCTCAAACTCTTGATCCTCCTGCCTCAGCCTCCTAATTGCTGCGATTATAGGCATGAACCACCATGCTCAGCTGATCTTTTATTTTGTTTTTATTTTTTGTTGTATTGGGGTTTAAACTCAGGACTTCACACTTCCTAGGCAGGTGCTCTTCTTTACCACTTAAAAAAAGCCTCCTGCCCTTTTTGCTCTAGTTTTTGTTTGTGTTTTGTTTTGGTGGGACTGGGTTTGAACTTAAGTACTCTACTAGTTGAGCCACACCTCCTGTCCATTTTGCTCTGGTGTCTCTCAAATTATTTTCGTGGCTGGTCTCAAACCTCGATCCCTATCCCCTCCCCCATCTCAGCCTCCCAAGTAGCTAGCATTACAAGCATGAGCCAACAGAGCCTAGACACTCTGCTTATTTTTGAGATAGGGTTTCTCATTTTGCCCAGGCCAGCTTGTACTGTAATTCTCCTATTGTACACTTCCCACTGTAGCTCAGGAACCAGGCACACACTACATGCTCAGCATTTTTCTGTTGAAATGGGGTCTCAGAAACTTTTTTTCCTGCCTAGTCTGACCTGGAATGACATCCTTCTGATCTCAGCCTCCCAAATAGGTTAGGATTACAGGTGCCTGGCTCATCTTTTATTTGTTTTTATTTTGGTAGAAGGTGAAGAGTTTCAAATAAAAATCCATTGTCTTTGGACAGGGTGGTGACTGTTGCACAACAATGTGTACTTAATGCCACTGAACTATTTACTTAAAATGATGGTAAATTTTATGTTATGTATATTTTATTACAGTTAAAAAAATCTACTGGGCATGGTGATGCATGTCTGTAATCCCAGTACTCAGGAGGCAGGAGCAGGATAATTGTGAGTTCATGTCCAGTCTGGGCTACATAATGAAACCCTATCTCAAAAATAAAATAAAAAGCCAAGTGCCAGTGGCTCACATCTGAGCCACTGAGATCAGGAGGATCGCAGTTCAAGCCAGCCTGGGCAAATAGTTGCTGAGACCCCATCTCCAAAATAACCAAAGGAAAACAAACTGGAGGTGTGGCTCCAGCAGTAAATCACCTGCTTTGCAAGTGCAGAGCCGTGAGTTTAAACCCCAGACCCACCAAAAAAAAAGAAAAAAACCCAACATAGATGGATAGAGTATTGCATATGAATAAAGTATTGCATATATTCTTCAATGCCTAAATGTCCTAGGACTTTTTATTTTTCTGCTTGTGGAGGCCTGTAATAAGTAGTAGGGCAACTAATCAGAACACTTAACCTAATAACAGGCCAGGACTCTGGTCTTGGAAACTGTCTACCTCTCTAATTCTTAGATTTCCCACTATACCTTGGGAAGAACGTGATAGGCCGAAGCCCTGAGTGCACTGTGGCCCTGCCCTTTCCATCCATCTCCAAACAACATGCAGTGATTGAAATTTTGGCCTGGAACAAAGCACCTATCCTCCAGGATTGTGGGAGCCTCAATGGTACTCAAATCCTGAGACCACCTAAAGTCCTGAGCCCTGGGGTGAGTCATCGTTTGAGGGACAAGGAATTGATTCTGTTTGCTGACTTTCCATGCCAGTACCATCGCCTGGATATCCCCCTGTCCTTTGTCTCTCGGGGTCCTTTGACTGTAGAGGAAACCCCCAGGGTACAGGGAGGAACTCAACCCTCCAGGCTTATGTTGGCTGAAGACTCGGAGGAGGAAGTAGGTAAGTTTGTGAATCGGAAGGGTAGGTGAGAAGACAGGGATAATGAATGTAAAACTGTCAACTTACTCTCTTCTATTCTTGCCAGATTTTCTTTCTGAAAGGAATGTGGTGAAAGAATCAAGGACTACGTCTTCCCCTTTACCAACAGTGGTTCCAGAAAGGTGAGTACCAAAGGGCCAGATATCTGTATCCTTAAAAGGAAGAAGAACCAAGGGTTAGCAGGTCAAATTGTAAGAAATTACTATCTTGAAAGGTAGGGCAAAGGGACTATATGTATTCATTTACTCAGCCGAATTTTAATGGAGCATGTCTGGAGAAAGAAAAACAAATATTATCTGTGCCTATTCTCAAGGAGCTCACAGTTGAGTGGGCTGTCCCTTCCTAGGCAGTAAGTTCTGTTGATTCTTTCTCTTCCCTTCACAGTGATGAAGAAGGGCCTTCTCTAGCCCCAGGTGACTCTGGGCCATCTTTTTCCGGCAACTTGGAAAGTGACACAGATGAGGAAAAAGATGAGCAGCCAGCAGTAGGGGAAGCCTCTTCAGCTACCAGGAAAGGTACTGCCGTGAAGGCAGAGAAGCCTGAAGCTGATAGGGTTATAATTAATATCCGGCTAGTAAAGGCTCGGTCTTCAGTTCAGAGACCCAAGGACTCAAGAGTCAAGAGGGATGCAGGAGATGGAGTGGGTCCAGTTGGAGTGATTCTGGAGAGGAGGAGCCAACCTCCTGAAGAGGACAGTGACACTGATATGGATGAAGAGTGCAGGCCTCCTGGAAGACCAGCTGTTGTCTGTTTGGAAAGGGCCCACTCTTCTAGCTTCATGGGTAGTGATACTGATGTGGAAGAAGAAACAATCCCTGTGACCCCAGCCATAGTTCCTATGAAGAAGAAGCAGATCTTCCATGGAGTTGGTACAAGAGGTACTGAATCACCTGGCCTGGCATATCTGCAGATGAGCCTAGCTGGTAATGATACAGATGTGAAGGAGGGCGAAGCCCCACTGACTGTCCCTCTGGAGGGAAGCCAAACCTCCATGGTGATCAACAGCGATACAGATGATGAGGAAGAAGTGTCAGCAGCACTTACTTTGGCACGTCTGAAAGAGAGTGGAGCTGTTTTATGGAACAGAGACACATATGTGGAAGAGGGCAGAGCCCAACCTGTGGCCCTTCTAGAGCAAAGCCAAACTGCCTCTGGGAGAGACAGTGACACAGATATGGAGGAAGAGTGGCTCCCAAGGGAAAAGAGAGAAACTGTCCCCAGCAGCCACACAGACGAGAATGGGACCATTGTTACAGCACAATCAGAAAAGGTCCAACCTCCCCTTGGAAATAGTGATAGTGAGGAAGCAGATGTGAGTTCACCTGGGATCCACCTGGAAAGAAGCCAGGCCTCCTCTGCCACAGTGGGCAACAACACTGAAGTGGAAGAAGTAGTCCCGCTAGGGCCAGCTGTTATCCATCTGGAAAAGAATCAGGTGTCTGTGGAGGGGACAAATGAAACAGATGTGGAAGCAGAAGAGGATTCAGAGCTGCTTGTGGTGCCTCTAAAGGAAGCCTGGCCTCCTGATGAAGACTGGGAGACAGATGTGGAAGAGGACAGGTCTTCAACAGGGACAAATGTAAGGAAGAGCCAGCTTTGGGCAGAAGGGGATACTAAGACAGAGCAGGCTACGGCTGTTCTTGAACAGGAGAGCGCTCTTGAGATGGGGGCCCAAGGTGGATCACCTGTGGCACAAGTGGAGCAGGTAGTGGTGCACCCAGGCACTCTAGGGGAGCCCATCCTGGCACAGAGAAAGGGAGTACAAATCCCCACAGGAAGAGAAAGAAAAGCACATAGGGGCGTGACCAAGGACTCCAAGGACAGCTGTGATGGTGAGTGCTACCCTTTCTTCCTCCCTTGACCCTTGAAATAAACTGGTTGTAAGGGCTAGGGAGAGAACAGTAGAGATAAAGTAAGGAGTTAAGGGTCAGATATGATTTTTTTGGTTGTCTGTCCTGTACTCATCCCCACCAGATCCTGAAGATCTGGACCTTCAAGCTACTCAGAGCTTTGTGGAGAGGGAGAATCAAAGCCTGGAAGGTGAGGCCATCTGGGTTGTTTTGATCCTGGTGTCAGTAGCAACTGGGATATTAGACTGGTGGTCTTTGAAGGGTGTGAAGGCTGGCGTGGGCAGGGCAAAAGACTGGGAATGGGACTCGGGTTCTGTGGAGGAGCTGTGCTCAAGCCATCTTTTCTTGTGCAGCAGTCCAGAGCTTGGAGGATGAACCCACCCAGGCCTTCCCATTTACCCTACCCCAAGAGCCCAGCCCTTCCCATTGCAGATTTCAGACCCCAGGTACAAGAAACCTCTGTGCCCCAACTTTGCATCCTTTCTTATTTTCTCTCTATATATGTTTCTTTCCTGTTCTTTTGCTATTTTGCTGCTGTTTCTCCATCTCATCAAGGAAAGAATGCCAATGCTGGGTCTGTTGGTATGTGCCTCTAGCCCCAGCACTTGGAAAGTAGAGAAAAGAGGAACAAGAGTTCGAGACTAGCCTGGCCTACGTAGTAATATTCTGTCTCAAAAACAAAACAAAACACAAAAAAACGGCCAGAGATGGCTCAAGTGGTAGAGTGCTTGCCTAGCAAGCACAAAGCCCTGAGTTCAAACCCCAGTACAGCCAAAAAATTAAATAAAAGTGATATATTAAGTCAGACCCATAGTCTAGATCATTTTTTAAAGAGCCTATTGAGGGAACTTTAAGGGTATGATTGTTTTTGTTTGTTTTTGGCTTTTTTTGTGTTGAAACTTGGGAACAATGTAACATTAAATGTTATAACTACCAACATTATTCCTAGCTTTCCTTTAATAACCCATTTAGATATTCATCAGCTTATCTTAATCCTTTTTCAACCTATCACCTTCTTTTTTTTTTTTTTTTAAATCTACCTACCTCTTTCTCTTTCTCTCTGACGCTGTCTCTTTATGTCCAGGTACCCTGGATGAGCCTTGGGAAGTCTTGGCTACCCAGCCATTCTGTCCGAAAGAGTTTGAGATCTCTGAGCCCCAGCCCATTGCCACCCACCTTGAGGCTCATGGATCTTGCCAATCTCCACCTAGGGCAACAACTCGAGACCAGCATCCAGAGAGCCCAGTTCACACAGAGCCGTTGGGGATTCAAGGCAAAGGGATGCAGACTATGGAGAAAGATATGGGTACACCAAAAAGAACAGCAGAGAGGGTGCCCCCTGAAAGAGGGCTGTCGGAAAGGGAAATTCAGGAACAGTCACCAGACAGGGAGAAGGAAGATGTGATGGGGGAGGAAGAATTAACTAGGGTGATACAGGGCAGAGAGCAAAAACAGGTGTTAGCTAAAGACACTAAAACACAAGAGTCTGCTAACATGGTAAAAAGTGTGACTCCTAAAAGGGATAGGGAGAGTTCGAAGATAGAAATGGAGCTGTCTAAGGAAATACAAGAGAAAGAAATGGAGAAGCAGATACTCACAAGAAAAATATTTGGGAGAAAAGTAGAGAAACCTGTGCCAGACAGAGAGTGTAAGCCAGATGGGTTAGAAGTGACCCTGGTTAGAGGAGAGGTAGATGGAGGGATCCAGGACCAGAAAGGGCAGGCCACCAGTCCAACACAAGAGTCTGGAGTGGAGGCAGAGGACCTTCAGGGATTTAAAATAGTTTCTGGGAACCAGTCAGGTGAAGGAAGGGGAGCCCTGGTGAGCCCTAGGAGGCAGCAAAGAGGTAAGTTGTAAGCAGAGGGGAGCCCAAGATGGTATGCAGCCTTCATGATTATTAATTCCTGAGCACATGGACTGTTTAGAACTCAGCCACCCTTGTGTTTACTCTCTGACTAGGCCACTTGAATTGCATGATGCCACCTGCTGAGAAGGCTTCATGGGTAAGAGCTGTTTTTCTTGACTTACCCTACTCTACAGGTCATCCCTACATCCCCCCAGTGCTGCTTTCCCTAACCTTGCTTTAATTTATTCCTTTCCCCATAGTCTCAGTTTTCTTCCATCTCCACCACTCTTTAATTACCCTTTGCCTTGTTTTTCCACATCTGTTTCCCAAGTGGTAGCTCCCTCTGACCTGATTCAGAAAGGAAGTCCCTTTCTTCGTATTTCCTCCCTCTTGTCCCAACCATCTTTATTAGCACTGTCCATGTGTGGAGAAACTGTACCAGCATTATGGGGAGAGGTCCATGGAAAGAGAACTGCTTCTTCCCCAGAAAGTTCCCAGTCTGGTAGAAGAGAGGTCACAGACAGAAAAAGAAATGCCAGTGACCACACTTTGGCCATAAACAAGAATCAAGAACAGTGTCCAACTCCTCTTTCTTGCTATTGCTTATGTTTCTCCCCAGGGTGCTCCAGAATCTCCAGATGCTTGCCTGCCTCCTGCAGTACCAGAAGCTTCAGCCCCACCCCAAAGACCCTTTACCTCTCAGAGCCCAAACCATCCTGTACCTCAGCCTCTCCTTCCTCCCTCTCCCCCTTCCTCTGAACCACCCATTTCTAGGACTAGGCACAATAGAAGTCTGGAAATTTCAGAGACTCCCCCATCCTCAGAGTTGGAGGCTTTTCACCCAAAGCATAACATCAGGCCCCGGCGGCGATCCTCCAGGATGACGCCTTCTCCACTTTCCTCTACCCCTACCACCCCCACAGACCAGCCCATCACCCCCGAGCCCACATCTCAGGCCACTTGGGGCAGAACACGTAGGTCTTCTGTTAAAACACTCGAATCAGTTGTACCCATAGCCACTAAACTCCATCCTTCCACCTCCACAGTCCAGCCTGTCATCCCTAAGTGCTTGTCTCGAGTCACTCGGGGCAAGACAAATAGGTTCTCTGTCAAAATCCCTGAACCAGTTGTCCCCACAGGCCCTGAACTCCATCCTTCCACCTCCACAGTCCAGCCTGTCATTCCTGAGCCCACAACTCAGGCCAGTCGGGGCAGGACACGTAGGTCCTCTGTTAATTCTCCTGAATCAGTTGTCCCCACAGCCTCTCACCTCCAGCCTTCCATCTCTACAGACCATCCTGTCACCTCCAAGCGCACATCTCGAGCATCTCGGGGTAGGACAAATAAGTCCTCTGTTAAGACCCTTGAACCAGTTGTCCCCACAGGCTCTGAACTCCATCCTTCTATCTCCACAGACCACCCTGTCACCCCCAAGCCTACATCTCGAGTCACTTGGGGTAGGACAAATAGGTCTTCTGTCAAGACCCCTGAACCAGTTGTCCCTACAGGCCCTGAACTCCAGCTTTCCACCTCTGCAGTCCAATCTGTCACCCCCAAGCCCATGACTCGGGCTGCTTGGGGTAGGGCATGTAAGTCCTCTATTGAGACTCCTAAGTCAGTTGAACCAAAAACACCAGATCTTGAGCCTCCCGGTTCCACAGACCAGCCTGTCATCCCTGAGGCTGTAGCTCAGCATGAGACAGTAAAGTCTTTATCCCTAAGTTCTGCCCCAGTTCTCACTGCCCCTCAATTCCAGTCTCCTATTGCCACAGCCCAGCCTGTTTCTCTTGAACCCATTCCTCAAGCCAGTTGCAGCAGGAGACAGAGGGCTGCTAGGAAGCACAGCTCCCTCACACCTCCCATTAGTAACAAGCTGCCTTCTGCACCCCCTCAACCTAAGTCCCGATCCTTGAGGATCCAAAGACAAGGAGCACTGAGAGCAGCTGAGTCTCTTGGCACCATTCCTGAACCTTCCTTTCCCCAATGTCCTGAGCTACCCACTCATGCTCCCCAGATCCAAAAGGTAAAAGTAGCAGGTACATCTGGGTTCACACCAGAGCCCCAGCCTAAGGCCTCTCAAATCCGCAAGAGGTCTTCTGCTACCATGGACTCACCCCCACTTCAAAAACGGTCCCAAAGAGAAGTCTCCCAGAAGACAGTGTTTCCCAAGGAAGAGGAAGATGCCATGGAAAGGCCAAGGAAGGAAGAGGTGAGGAGAGGGCTTTGGGCCACCAAGCTAGAACCAAGTTTCAGTGCTAAGGAACTCCCACCAAGATATTTCTCAATCCCAGGATGTCGTGATTCCAGGACCAGGCAAAAGGAAGAGAGACCAGGCAGAGGAGAAATCCAAGGGAATACCAAGCCGTGGCCTCCGACGCACCAAGCCTAACCAAGAATCAGCAGCCCCCAAAGTAGGAGAGAAGGGGCCTAGGGCTTCGTGGGAGGGTGGCAGGAGATGGTTGGGGAGCATGGCTGGCATGGGTTGTTGTGACCAGCTTAGACCAAACCCCCACAGGTACTCTTCACAGGAATCATGGATGCTCGTGGGGAGCGGGCAGTGCTGGCACTAGGGGGGAGTTTGGCTGGCTCAGTGACAGAGGCCTCCCATCTGGTCACCGATCGAATCCGCAGGACAGTCAAGTTCTTGTGTGCCCTGGGGAAGGGGATCCCTATCCTCTCTCTGGACTGGCTACATCAGGTAAGAGGCTAGAAGATGATGACAGATCAATAGTAAGAATGACAGTAGAAGACTGCTCATATAGCGCTGAAGACAGTGAAAGGAGGAAAGGGGACACAGGATGACAAGGCAGGAAGTTTCATTCACTCAAGAGAACTGGTGCTGGGGCTGGTGGAGTGGCTCAAGTGGCAGAGTGCCTGCCTAGCAAGTGTGAAGCTATGAGTTCAAACCCCAGTACCACCAAAAAAAGAAAGAAGGAAAACTGGCTCTGGGCACTGGTGGCTCACACCTATAAATCCTAGCTACTTAGGATACAGAGATCAGGAGGGTCACAGTTTGAAGCCAGTTGTGAGACCCTATCTCAAAAATACCCATCACAGAAAAGGGCTGGTGCAGTGGCTTAAGGTGTAGGCCCTGAGTTCAAACCCCAGTATTGCAAAAAAGCAAAACAAAACTGGTGACATAGGCCCATACTCCCAGCTAGTTGAAAGGTTGAAATTGGGAGAATCAAAGTTCAAGGCCAGCCTGGGAAAACAGTTCCAGATACCCCATCTCCAAAATAACCAGAGCAATATGGACTGGAGGTGTAGCTCAAGTGGTAGAGCTCCTGCTTTGCCCTTGAGTTCAAACCCTAGCCCCACTAAATAAATAAATAAATTGTGAGTTCTTTACAGAAGCTAGACCTGATACTGACTGTTCCCTCCATTAGTCCCGAAAGGCTGGTCACTTCTTGCCCCCTGATGAATATGTGGTGACTGATCCTGAGCAGGAGAAGAACTTTGGCTTTAGACTTCGGGATGCCCTGAGCCGGGCTCAAGAGCGAAGGCTTCTGGAGGTGAGAGGCTGTCTTCTGCCCCAAACTCCAGCCAGAGATGAAAACCCCAAAGGTTTCCTATCAGCTCATTGCCCTCCGTGTTGAGATTTACTATCTCCACCATTTCTCTTAGGGCTATGAGATTCATGTGACTCCTGGAGTCCAGCCACCACCACCTCAGATGGGAGAGATCATCAGCTGCTGTGGAGGCACAGTGCTCTCCAACATGCCCCGGTCCTATAAGGTATAGCTGGAATGTTCTGGGTCTGGTGAGGGGGGCAGCTAACAAGTGGCTGGAGTGGAAGAACATTGGAGGAAAACACAGAGGTAGAGATAGGAAAGAGGTACAAATGAGGGGAGAAATGTGCTGACACTAAATGGACTTAGTTTTATTTTGTATTTTAAACATTTTCAAGTATACACAAAATGAGAGAGAATAACACAGTGCATTAACCCCCCCACCCATCAATTTTATCCAGTACTTTTATTTAGATAATGCTACATTTGTTCCATGCTACATTTGTACAATGTTCCATTTGTTCCTTTTTTTCTTTAGTTTTCTTTGCTGAAACACTTTAAAACAAACTGCAAACATATTATTTCTCCCTACACGCTTAAGTGTACATCTCTAAGAAATATGGATGTAATCACAATATCACTATTCATTTCTAACAAAACTAACAATATTTTATTGGTCATTTCCTCATACTCCATTAATCATCTTTCAGTTGCCTGAAAGATGTCTTTATACAGTTGTTCAGAGCAGGATTAGCCAGGCAAAGTAGTGTGTGCCTGTAGTCCCATCTACTAGGGAGGCAGAGGAAGGAGACTTAGGCAAGGGTATGGATTGAGCCAGAAGATCAAGACCAGACTGAGCAAGATAGCAAGAGTCACCTCCCCCAATTCCTTAAAAACAAAAGAAGATTCACATAAAGCCATGTGTTACTGCATTTGTTGTCTCTCCTAATTCTCTGTGGGTCAACTCACCCTCATTTAGTTTCCTGCAGAAACTAGGCCAAGCATCCTTGAGAATATTCCCCAGTCTGGATTTCTGTTTGCTCCCTTGTATCTTTTATCTTATTCCTCTATCTGTTATATTTCCTGTAATGCTAGTCAATTTAAACGCTTGGATAAATTCAGCTTCAGCTTTCCAGGCAAGAATACTTCATAGGTAGTGAGTGAAATGTGCTTCATTCATATGGCTTCATACCAGGAGGTACCACTTTTTAGTGATGCTGAGACTGATTAGTGGGTCCTGAATCGATTTCTAGGATTCTTTTCCGTTCCTGACTTTCTGTCTTTGCTCTCTTCCAGCCTCAGAGAGTTGTGATCACATGCCCCCAGGACTTCCCTCGCTGCTCCATCCCATCTCGGTTGGGGCTGCCCCTCCTTTCTCCTGAGTTCCTGCTGACTGGAGTCCTGAAGCAGGAAGCCAAACCAGAGGACTTTGTCCTCTCCAGCTTGGAAATATCATCCACCTGAAAATTCCAGTACTTTTTCCTCTCCCAGGCCAGTAAATAAACCTCCAGAAAACATTTTGGGAAAAAAGAACTAAGGGCTTTTCAGAAACAACTCGAGTATATTGATAAGCCTTGTCCTGGAACATTGGTAAAACCAGAAGGTTTTACCTTCTGGGAAAACAGCACAATAGGGAGATTGGGAGCCACAGATTTTCTAAAATGGCCATTTTAATCCTTTAGCCGGCTACTTGGGCAGAAGGATAGGGAGTTTAAGACCAGCCCCGGCAAAGTTAGTGAAATCCTATCTCGAAAAACCAAGCCAAAACAAACAAACAAAAACTCCCAAAAGACAAAAGGGTTAGGGGCGGCTCAAGTGGTAGAGCACTTGCCTAGCATGCAAGAGGACCTGGGTTCAACAACCAGTACCACCAAAAGAATAGAAAATTAGCTAATCCCATTCTGTGCTCTCTTAAGTAGCTGCTCATCTTTAGGTAGTCATTGCGTCATAGCATACACAATATCCTGCCTTTGGGTAGCTATCTCTCTTCTCTTTTCTTACGGTCATTCTTACTCATCCTCAAAAGACAGTGAGAACAACTTTGGCATCAGAAACATGTATGGGTGCTTGGAATGAGATGTAAGGGTGGAGTTATGAAATGCAAGTAAAATTATTTTTCCTCTGTCCAGCCCCAGCTGTTCAGAATTATCCTTTAGCTTTGAGTAAGTCTCTGCACTTTTCTGACTAGTATTTATGAAATAAGAGCTTTTGCTTGATCTCTGATGAATAAATGTTCATTTTGTGCCTTATGTTGTGCTTTTTTTTTTTTTTTAATGTCTGGTGTTAAGACACAGGTTTTTAAAATTTTTTTTGAATTATTAAGACTTTTTTTAAGGAGCTCGTTATTTTTGTTATTGTCTTCATTTTCGTTTGTTTTGTTTTTTAAGGCAGGGTCTCACTATATGGCCTAGGCTAGCCTCATACCTCCTTAAAATTGGAACACTATAGAGAAGATTATCATGGCCCCTGCGCAAGAATGACATCCACATTCATGAAGCATTCCATATTAAAAAAAAAAAAAAAAAACTCCTACCTCAGCCTTCCAAGTTTAAATTTTGTCAATTACAAGAATGTGGAGAAATTAGAACCTTTATATATTGCTGGTGGGAATGTCAAATGGTCTGACTGCTGTGGTAACAGTTTGACAGTTCCTTAAAAAGTTAAATGTACAGCTGCTTGTGATGTCAGGCACCTGTGATCCCAGTGCTGGAGGCTGAGACATGAGCATCAAAAGTAAGACCCTGTCTCAAAACAAAAAGAGCCGGGCTCATGCCTGTAATTCTAGCTACTCAGGACACAGAAATCAGGATGATTGTGGTTCGAAGTCAGCCCAGGCAATAGTTCATGAGACCCTATCTCAAAACAACTCATCACAAAAAAGGGCTGGTGGAGTAGCTCAAGGTGTAGATCCTGAGTTCAAACCCCAGTACCACAAAAAAAAAAAAGTTAAATTAAGGATTACAAAATGACCCAGCAATTCTGCTCTTAGTTCCCAAAATAATTAAAAACATAGCTGGGTGCTGGTGGCTTATACCTATTATCCTAGCTACTTGGGAGGGTGAGATCAGGAAGATCTCAGTTGAAGGCCAGCTCAGTGTAGCTCAAGTGGTAGAGCGGAGCGCCTGCTTTGCAAAGCCCTGAGTTCAAACCCCAGTCCCACCAAAAAAAAAAAAAATTTAAAAACAGGTGTAAACAAGTCCTTGAATATTATCATCACTCTTCACAATAGATGGAAATACTACTAGTGTTCACCAAGGATGAATGGATAAGTATATATGTATATAGCAATATAATATGTAAATATATACATAATATATAATTATAATTGTATTTTATATATATTATATAGCAGTATAATATATATTATATATATAGCAAACAAGAGGCCCTGAGTTTAAACCCCAGTGCTGCAAGAAAAAAAAAAAAAAAAGTGGGGGGATGATTCCACTTGTATGAAATATCCAGAATGGGTAGATCCATGAAGACTAAAAACAGATTGGTGGTTGCCAGAGGCTGTGGGAAAGGGAACTGGGTGATGACTGCTTAATGGGTCTGGAGTATTACTGCGGAGAGATAAAAGTACTTTGGAATTAGAAGTAGTGGTCGTACACATCACAAATATTCTAAATACTACTATATTGGTCTCTTTAAAATAGTTTTATTGTGTGAGTTTCACCAAAATATTATAATTTTGCATACTTTTTTGCATGTAAATTATATGTAGGTTTGGAAAACTTATCTATGACCATACCATCCTGAAGGTGCTAAATCTTGGAAGCTAAGCAGGGTCAGGTCTGGTTGGTACTTGGACAGGAGACCATCTGGGAATACCAGGGTGCTGTAGGCTTTAAAAATAAATAAATGAACTTTGGAAAACTGGTATAATAGAGATAGCATGAGCTTTGCCAAGCTTGCTTTTCTCTTTTTTTTCTTATTTTTTTCTTGCAATGGTGGGGGTCAAATTCAGAGCCTTGTGCATATTAGGCAAGTGCTATATCCCAAGTTATGTACTGGCTTTCAAACATTACCTACTCATATTTTAAGTATAGCTGTCATGGGTGTGGCACACAGTAGGACCTAAATAAATATCAGTCCCCTTGCATAACTCAAAGTCCTACCACATGAAACTGTCCATATCCCTGAACCTATGGGTTTTCTTACAGTACCTGTCATCTCTGGAGCACCATTTAACAGTCAGGTGTATTCCCTCTTCATGCCTGGTTCTATCTAAATGCTCCAAATTAAACTTCTAGGGGATAAGGATCTTTTCTTACACTGCCAGTGTATCCCAGGGTGTGTAGCACACTGCTTTGTGTAATCTATTAGTCATAGTTCTAGCAAGAAACAGGTGGCACAGTCAAATGAGGATGATTTGGGGGAGAATTTAATAAAGATATTAATTACAAAGAAGTAGGCAAGGTGTAGAGAAATTATAAAGAATGGTACAAAGCCTCAGAACCCACAACTCTGCTCAAAAGATAAGAGGGCTGGCAGAGTGGCTCAAGTTGAGTGCCTGCCTAGCAAGTGTGAAACCCTGAATTCAAGCCCCAGTGCTGCAAAAAAAAAAATCCAAAAGATGAGAGAGCAGTTCTGTAAAAATTGACTTCAATGAACTGCCCCAAGCAGAAATCGGGGCAGCGGTGACTGTAGAGGGAAACATAAGATTTCTGGTTCAGTATACAGCAGCACTGATGCAGAGGGGTTGGGAGTGCTGCTCCTGCTGCTCCACAGTTTTCTTGTCCCTCAGCCCACAGGACTAGCAGCTGCTTTTTAATTCTCATCTGGCAATTTTATTTCCTTGGGCTTGCTTGCTTCTGTGTGTAAGTTGGGGAATTAATGTTATAAGGCCCCTATATATGCATAGCTACTGTGATTACATCCTTAAATACATAATCTTTAAAGGTTACTTTTACTTTGTAATTTAGATGTTAATGTTTGAAGGTAATTAATTACAAGCAGGTGTGTAGGGAAATATGTTAAAACAAAAGCTCTCAGTAAGAGGAAATCAAACTAATGAATTTGAAGAGTAAAATCATAGACAGCTAATTACCACAGGCTTGGATTAAAATTACTGGGCAGTTTACAACTATAATAAACAGTTTTCTACCACAAGTATTTTAACATAGTTTTACTACCATGGCTACAAAACAGCTGGCACTATGAGGGCCTCAAACCCTCAGCCCTGCTTCAGCCTCCCAGAGCTGGGATTTCACACACACACACCCACACACACACACACACACACTTTGGCACCATAATTAGAATAGTACCACAGAGTTCTTCACCGTTTCAACTCTGTAACAAGTTGAAGAATAAGAGAATACGAATGTATTTCGAGGTAAAATAGTCATTAAAAAAAAAAAATCTATGCTGGGTCCCAGAACTGGGGAGGCTGAGGCAGGAGGATCACTGATTCGAAGCCAGCTGACCTGTCTCAAAACCAAAACCAACAAGATGTGATAAGGTGATGCAGAGCTTTGAGTCTCTCAGTCGGGGTCAACAGTTCGTTCTCTCAAGGCTCATTATTGAAGCGTTAACCGAGGGCTTGTAACCTTCCACGGTTGTTTTCCAGTCATGGCCAAGTTCAGGAGAAGAGGGTTCATGTTTCCACGAGAACTTACTTGCAAGAGGAATTGTCTTCATTTGCAATGGGGAAACTAGATGAGCTGGGATTCAGCCCGCGTGGGTGGCTGCAGAGCCGCTGCCCTTAACAACCCCCTCAGGGTTCTAACACTCAGTGACGCGGGGACAGCGGCGGGGAAACGAATCCCGCACCCGCGCGGTTCCAGGTCAAGACAGCGGCGCGAGCGGGCCGGAAGCCCGGGAGTCGGGTGCAGGAGCCCCGCCCCCGGGCAGCATTCAGGCGAGGGGCAGGGCCAGGGCGGGGCCTGCAGCCGCGGGAATCCCAAACCCTCCCCTTTCCCCACCCCTCGCTTCCTCGCCATGGCCCCTGCACTGCTGCTGGTCCCCGCTGCGCTCGCCTCTTTCATTCTGGCCTTTGGCACTGGAGTGGAGTTCGTGCGCTTTACCTCCCTTCGGCCACTTCTCGGAGGAATCCCAGAGTCTGGCGGTCCGGGTGAGCGGGAGGGATCGAGGATGAGCGGGAGGGATCGAGGATGAGCGCTGAAGCAGGGAGGTGGAGCTGGAGGAGAGACGGGGGCGAGGGCGGGGCTTGGGAACAAATGACAGGCGAAGTCCGAGCGAGGGAACTTGAACAGCGAAAGCTTCGGAGAAGCTGCTGGGGATGGGGACCAGAAGACTAAATAAGAACTTCGAGGATTAGCCGTTTGGAGAAGCTGGAGAGTGAGGACTGAGGGACGGGGTCATACACAGAATATTCTAAAAATGTTTTGTAGAGAAAACAAAATATGGAAAGGGGCGTGTTAGAAAGAGGGAGCATTTGGAGAACCGCTATGAGGGGAACTCCAGAGATGGCTCTCCAGTCATGCTTTTTGTAACTGCCCAACGTTCATTCTTCCATGAATGCTCTTCCCCAGGTCTGAAGGGGGCCTAGAGAAGAGGGAAGATAGAAGGAATGGGAAAGTGGGCGGGGCACAGCCTAGAAGAGAAGCATAAAAGCCCTTAAAAGTAATTAAGAGCATTGCCTGGGCAGGGGGGTGGGCAAGGGAAGATGAGGATAGGGGAAAACGTTTTTTAGCCATCTTCATCTTTTGTCTCTTTCTCCCTCAACTCCCCCAGATGCCCGCCAGGGATGGCTGGCCGCCCTGCAGGACCGCAGTGTCCTTGCTTCCCTGGCTTGGGATCTGGGGCTCCTGCTACTGTTTGTTGGGCAGCACAGCCTCATGGCCACTGAGACAGTAAAAGCGTGGACATCCCGGTACTTTGGGGTCCTGCAGAGGTCACTATATGTGGCATGCACTGCCCTGGCCTTACAGGTATGAGACCCTGACAGCTAAGTCCCCAAGGGAGACAGAATCAGTAGGAAGGAGGGACATCCTGGATGAGAGAGGCAAAATATAAACTTGAGAAGAGAACTGAGGACGTTAACCTCAGCTTCCATTCCTCCAGGGCACATCTCCTACTTTATTTTTTTTTATTAAGAAGGGTGTTCTTGTCATTCTCCAATGCACAGTCTGTGCATTCTGGTCTTTGCAACTTTGTTCATGTTGTCCTGTTTGAGATCTCCTCCTTAACTCCTCTGCAATCCTACCCTTCCAAACGACCTCCCTAAGTCTCCAGAGAAGACTTGTTTTCCATTTAGTTATCTCTCTTCTCTTTGGGTGCTTGGCATAGGCTACTTCGTATACTTCTGTAAATCCCCTATGGAGATAGGTCATCCTCAGTTCCCATCTAGCACCCTTCACGTGGTAAATATTGGCTGGTGATATGTGGGGGAGACCTGCAGGTTATCTGGGAGTGGGGGTCACCTCTGGGTTTGAGTCTCTCAAGAGTGGGTAGGGTGGGCTGCTGGAATATCCAGTCTCTCATCCTTTCTCAGCTGGTGATGCGGTACTGGGAGCCCGTACCCAGAGGCCCTGTGTTGTGGGAGGCTCGGGCTGAGCCATGGGCCACCTGGGTGCCCCTCCTCTGCTTTGTGCTCCACGTCATTTCCTGGCTTCTCATCTTCAGCATCCTTCTCGTCTTTGACTACGCTGAGCTCATGGGCCTCAAACAGGTGAGGCTCCCAGATCCCTACTTAAGACCTCACCTTGCCTAGAATTCCTCTCTCCCTTCCCCTTGGATTTCCCTGCAACTCCTCCCATGATCTTCTACCTTCCCTTTCCTTTGTATTCCCCAACCTCCTTTTCTTTTTTCTTTTTTTGGCAGTACTGGGGTTTGAATTCAGGGCCTCACCCTTGCTAAGCAGGCATTCTACCAGTTGAGCCACTCCATCTGTCCTATTTTGTATTGGATTTTTTTTTTAAGGTAGGGTCTTGAGAACTATTTGCCCAGGCTGGCTTTGAACCAAGTAGCTAGGATTACAGGCATGAACCATGACACCCTGCTCTTTTCTTTCTTAATTTCTTTCTTTTTTTTTTTGGAGGTACTGGGATTTGAACTCAAGGCCTCATGTTTGCTAGGCAGGCATTCTACCACACACTGACCCCTTTTCTTATAATGCTGTTTCCTGTCAGCCTGCCCTTCAAGGCCAGCAACCATGGGTCTCCTGGACCTAGAGTTCAGAGTCAGTGGCTGAAGCCTCAGAAGGGGGTCCCTAGGCCTGATTTCTAGGAGGGTGGTGCCTGGAAAAGCAGAGAAAAAGCAGCTATCTTGGGAAGAGCCTTGACTCGATTTCTACACTGTTCTTTCTCTCTTAGGTGTACTACCATGTGCTGGGGCTGGGTGAGCCACTGGCCCTGAAGTCTCCTCGGGCTCTGAGACTCTTTTCCCACCTGCGCCACCCAGTATGTGTGGAGCTGCTGACAGTGCTATGGGTAGTCCCCACCCTGGGCACTGACCGCCTCCTCCTTGCTCTCCTCCTTACCCTGTACCTGGGCCTGGCTCACGGGCTGGACCAGCAAGACCTGCGCTACCTTCGAGCTCAGTTACAAAGAAAACTCCATCTGCTCGCCAGGCCCCAGGATGGGGAGGCAGAGTGAGGTGCTAACTCTGCTTCCAAGCCCTGTACTTCTTCCCCCAAGTTCAAAATCCCTTAATCCAGGCCCTGGATTCTTCAGACCAGAGGCCTAAATCTGTGGACTGATGGGGTTGTTCCCACTGCTTAAGGCTTCATTCCCTGGATCCAGCTCCATACCCTAAATTCAGAGTTTCAGCCACTAGACTCCAAGGTTTACTTCTCACCAGTCAGGAAGAGGGAGTGTGGAAGTCTTCTGCCTCCTCACAGTTTAGGGCTTGACCTCTTCCGACCCTCTTTTCCCCCCACCTCACAAGGAAAGGGGTCTGCCCTGACTGTTCTGCTGGCCTCTGAGCCTCAGGGATCCCCTTCTCCACCTCCAGTTTCCACTCCAAGGAACTGAGTCAGGGTTTGTCGGCAAGTTTACCGGTAATGGCCCAGTGGTGCCTCTCTACTCCCACCCTATTCTCTCCAGCTCCTCAGGCCCCATCCCTGAGCTCCATCTCTGTGGAGGGGATTCTCTCGCTCTTAATTCTGGCGACTTAGGGCTCCCTGCTCTCCCGTGAAACATTTTCTGCAGGAAAATAAAATTCAGACTGACATAAAAATAAAATAAAATTTCTACATATGGCATGCAGAATTCTCAATGTCTCTCAAGCTGTCGTGCAGAGTTTGGGAAGGAAGGCGAGCCGGAGCCTGAAAGCGCCAACCTCGAGTGTGGGCAGCTACGGCACCCTCTGGCGGCTGCTGGGCGGCTGCCACGCCCCGTGGGCCCGCCCCCACGGTGGACCCGCCGGTCCCGCTTCCTTCAAATCCCCCAATTTCCCCGCTATATCCCAAGGACCCTTAGGAGACCGGCTGAAGCTAAAACGTGGCGGGGGGTCGCATCTGTGGCAGGGTAGCGGGCTTCTTCCAAAGCCATTTGCTTTTGAGCACCTCTCCCGCCGCTCCCTTCCCGACAGGTCCCGCAGGGTCTGGCGGCAGCCCTCAACCCCACTGTAACAAAGACTGGCCGGGGAAGGCAAAAGCGTGGGGAGGCGCGGCCAGAGATGGGAAGGGCGGGCCCCGCTCGCAGCAGCTGCAGCTTCCTCCCGAGTCCCCCGAGGGGCCTGAGTCACGGGCCGCCGCCCAGGGTCGGCGAACTAAGGGCGAGGGTCTGGACCCCTAGATTATTCCGGTTTCAAGGCGGGGAGCGGGTGAAGGCCCCTGGGACTAGAGAACGGAGGGTTAGAGGTTTCCACCAGAAGTGGGGAGTCTCAGAGCACAGTCCCACGGTGGACCCGAGCGAGGCCCCGCCCCCTCCTGGGGCCCCGCCCTGCGCCCCCTGAGCTCTCCCCATTGTCCTTAGACAAAGCGGTCGCCGCCCCCCGCCCGGCCCCCTAGTCTCTGTCTCTGTCCCTCCTCCTCTGCTCCCTCTTTCCCTCCTCCTTTCCCTCCCTCCCTCCTCCCCTCTCTTCAGTCTCCGGATCTCCCTCGCTCCCTCTCTCCTCCTCTTCCTCTGTCCTCTCTCCGGACGCCGGGCTCCTCCGCACCCCTTCCCCCGGGGGCCCCGAGGCGTGTGAGTTGATTAGGGGCTCAGACTTGGGGGAGGTATCTCCTCGCTCTCGTCCCCCCTCCCGTCCCTGAGCTGTCTGCTCTTTGTGCCGAGATTGTCTGTGTGGTCAGAGTGGGGTGAGGACAGCCGGCTATGGCAGGGTCCCTTGAGCGGGAACCGGGGCACCGGACTCGCAGGCTCTGGATCGAAAAGGCTTGGAGTCAGTCCTCGGCATGCCTGGGTCCCGGGACGCAGCGGGTGGGGGAGGACAAGGATGGGGTGACGCGACTGGATGAGGGTGGACATCAGGGTTCTGGGAACGTCTTAGCAGCTCAGACGCCTGGGTTCCAAAAGTCCCGGGGGAGGGTATTTCCCCTGACCCGCCTTGGGGGCGGAGTGCGCAGCGGAGGGGTGGGGGCTGGGGGCCCGAGAGGCGGGGCGCGAGCCGAGCTGGAAAGGGAGCCTGGACCTTTGGGGCCCGCGCTGAGACGCGCCGGGCTGCTAACGCGGCGCTCCCTTTCGCGCTGCCCCTGATTTCCCCTTCTCCCCTACACCTCTTCACTCTCTGCCCCCTCCTCACCTCCCCGACATCCCCTCAGGCCCCACAGGCTCCTTTCCGGCTGATTCCCTGCCTTTCCTTCCCGTTCACCTCTGGGTCCCGGTAAGTCAGTCTAGCCTGAACCTGATCCCCTCTCCGCTTCAGTCTTTTTCCTCTTCGCCCTCACTCCAGCATCTCCTTTTCGCTCTTTTCTCTCCTTCTCACATCCTTGGGACTGTCTTTAATACCCATTAACCCGAATTACCCAATCTGGCTCCCGCCTCTACCCCGAATCTCTACTTTTCCTCTCACATCACCTCCCCCCGACCCCCCAACTTAGCTCAGAGCTTTCCTCTTCACTTTTTTGGTTCCCTTCTTCTCTGCCCTCCCTTTTTCTCCCCTTTTCCTTCTGTCTTCATCCTTAGCTTCACTGCCCTTCTCTATATCCAACTTCTCCCCCACCACTTCCCTTCCCCCACCCCCAATCTCACCCCCCTGGGCCTCTCTGAAACCTCGCTTTCCTGTGCTCTGCCCCCAGTGCTCCCTACCCTCACGTGAAGTTGACCATGACCACCATCCCAGACTGGAAGCTACAGCTGCTAGCCCGGCGCAGGCAGGAGGAAGCAGCAGTTCGAGGCAGGGAGAAGGCAGAGCAGGAGCGCCTTTCGCAGATGCCAGCCTGGAAGCGAGGACTCCTGGAGCGCCGCCGCGCCAAGCTTGGCCTGTCCCCTGGGGAGCCTAACCCGGTGCCTGGGACTGCAGAGGCTGGACCTCCAGACCCAGAAGAATCTTCTGTCCTTCTGGAGGCCATTGGGCCAGTGCACCAGAACCGATTCATACGGCAAGAGCGGCAGCAGCAACAGCAGAGGAATGAAGAGATGCTTGCTGAGAGAAAGCCTGGGCCTCTGGAGGCCAGAGAGCGGAGATCCAGCCCTGGGAATTCAAGAGACCAGAGCCCCAAGGGAAGAGAATCAAGAGAAGAAAGGCTAAGTCCAAGGGAGGCCAGAGAGAGGAGGCTGGGGATAGGGGGAGTCCAAGAGTTGAGTCCCAGGTCTTTGGAGATCCGAGACTGGAGGCAAAGCCCAGGAGAGATGGGAGACCGGAGCTTGAGACTGTCAGAGGCTCGGAAGTGGAGGCTGAGCCCTGGAGAAACTCCAGAATGGAGTCTGAGACTGGGAGATCCTGGAGAACAAAGTCCCAGGAGAAAAGAGGTGGTGGAAAGTAGACTTAGCCCTGGGGAGTCTGGCAATCAGAAGTTAGCACTGACAGAGGCCCATAAATGGAGGCCTGATTCCAGAGCTTCTCAAGAACACAGTTTGGTACAACTGGAGGCATCAGAGTGGAGGCTGAGCTCAAGAGAAGAAAGAAAAGACTGCTTGGAGGAATGTGAAAGAAATGAAGAGAGGCCAATTCCAGGGACAGCCCCAGAAGAGACCACAAGACTATCAGAGACCCTGACAAGAGAGGCTCAAGACATCTCCAGAGATGTAGAGACAGCAGAACAGAGGCCCAGCCATGTGGAAGATGGTGAGAGGGGCTCAAGGTCCACCGAAGGATGGAAATGGACGCTGAATTCAGGGAAGGCTCGAGAATGGACACCCAAGGACACAGATACTCAGACTCAGAAACCAGAACCTCCGGAGTCTGCAGAAATATGCCTGGGGCCTCCTAGTATGGAGGCTGGAGAAGGGGAGCCCGAGAAGGAGGCGGGGGCTCAGAGCAGGCCTCTGAGAGCCCTGCAGAACCGCTGCTCTGCACCCTCCCCCCTCCCACCAGAGGACTCTGGGACTGTAGGCTTGAGACAGCAGGAAGAGGAAGCAGCAGAACTCCGGCCCCCACCATCAGCCCCTCTATCTCCCCCACCCCCAGCCCCAACTGCCCCCCAGCCCCCTGGGGATCCCCTCATGAGCCGTCTCTTCTATGGGGTGAAGGCAGGGCCAGGGGTGGGGGCCCCCCGCCGCAGTGGACACACCTTCACAGTCAACCCCCGGAGGTCTGTGCCCCCTGCAAGCCCAGCCACTCCAGCCACCCCAGCCCCAGCTGATGCTGCAGCCCCTGGGGCTGGGAAGAAGCGGTACCCAACTGCCGAGGAGATCTTGGTTCTGGGGGGCTACCTCCGTCTCAGCCGCAGCTGCCTTGTCAAGGGGTCCCCTGAAAGACATCATAAACAGGTAGGAGAGCTGCCAAGCCTGACTTCTTAGAAGCCTGCTTTCCAGTTCTCTCTGGACTCCAGTTTTTGCTTTTTTATACCCCTGCATTCTTGTCTTCCTCTATTCTTTCTGGTTAATTCCTGCCACCTCCCTTCCTCCCTCAGCACACACACCCTTCCTTCTGGTAGCCCTCCTTTGCCATTCATGTTGGAGCCCAAGGATCCTCCCCAGCAATCAACTGCTGTGTCTGGGTGTGTCATTTTCAGGGTGTGCCCAGGCTGCTCCTTCTGTCTTCCCTCCGGCTCTGAGTCTTCCTCCCCCTTTCCTTTCTTTTCCTTTCCTTTGCATCTGTGACCCACCCAAACCCATATGGTGGGAAATAAGTGACACAACCTTGGAGCCACGAGAGCAGGGTCACTGGGGTGAAAACACAGCTTTGGAAGGGAGAGAATCTGGAGGCAGGAAACCTGGGGAGTGGAGAGGAAGGTTTTAGGGAGAAAAGACAAGGAACAGGAATTGGAGGAAGGTCTCAGCTCCAAGGAAGAGGGGGACAGAGTTGAGTAGGAGCATCCCAGGACTGGGGGGGGGGGAGGAAAGAACAGGGCTGGTCAAAGAGCAGAGAGAAGGCTTTTGAACCCCAAGTCTGCCCCATGGGAGAGGCGCACACAGATGCCATTTGAAGTGGGTGACCTCGGGGTTGCACACTCCCAGCTGGGCCACTGCTGCAGACAGTGCTTCCTTCTCTCTCAGGACAAGAAAAGCCTTCTCCTCTTCCAAAATACCCCTGCCCCCTCCCTGTCCTTCCTCTCAGGGCTTCCCCCTCCCTCCCCAGAACTGGCTCAGCCATTGGTTTTCCCCTCTGTTCCTGCCACCCTGGCCTTTCCTTCCCCTCAGGGTACAAAAAGAGAGAAGTACATTTGAAGGCCCTCAGCTAAGAGCTGGGACTGGCCAGGGTACAGTGGGCGTTAAGGACAGGGATGGGGGCTGAGGCTGGAAAAGGGTCAGAGGTTAGACTTGAACAAGGACATGCAGAGAAATGGGAAGGGCTAGACTAACTTCTCTCCCTAGCTCTGGCTCAACTCCTTCCCTGGACACACCAATCAGTTTCCAGCTTGAACATATCCAGGGAGAGAACAGTCCCAAACTCACATGTCCCTCCACCAAACACAAATCTTCCCTGGGCTACAAGGCCCTGTCTCAGCCTCAACCCATGTGTTAACATACTCAAATTTGATTTTCCTCATCCTCAGGTATCAGTGCCACACCACAAGGATGAAAGATCATGGTTAAGCTTAGAGTTCTTTACGGAAACTTAAGCTCCAGCCTTGGCTACTGTACTTGGGAGTCTATCCCAGCCCTTTGACAGCTATCTGCCCTTTCCCCTCAGGGCTAGACCGATGCAGAGGAAGGAGGACCGGAAATTCTCCCTGACTGAGGTGTTGAGAATAGTCACTTCCTACTGAGGTTGACTTGTGCTTTGGGGAGGAGGCTTGTGCCCTTAGGGAATGAGCAGAGGGAAGGCAGGAAGCTCTGGGGTCAAGGCCCCAGGACCATCAGAGGGGAGCCAGGAACCCAGTGCAGAGCTGGACCTATGATGGTGACCATACCTAGGTCAGGCAGTAGGGGGGCCGGAAGTTGATCATCCAAACAGGAAGCCTGGGGTGGGGGCCGGAAGGCTGGTGGGGCTGAGTGGTGAACGCTGGGCCATGGGCCTGCCAGAACTACGCTCAGGATGTGGTGAGAGAATAAGGAAGCAGCCATGCTGGGGTGGGGGTGGGGAAGAGGCACAACAGAGTTCCCTAGATCCAGCCACCTCACCCGCTGTCCTCTCTCAGGCCTCTCTCTGTGTCAGTGCCCACTTGCGTGCCTTGTCCCAGTACTGTCACTAAGGCTAAAGGATAGAAAGACCTGACTACCCGTGTCCTCACCTTCTATAAATAACTCATTTGCAGGCTGCTTCTATCAAACTTAACCCTACCATCAAGAGAGAAACCCCAGCCCTGCCACTGAGCCCAAGGATGGGCTGTGGTTGGTGCCCTTCCCCAGGGGCCCCTCTGGCTTGAGACCTGCCACTCCCTCTCCAGCCCCCTTGTGACCTTATATAGCTGATGTGAGAGAAGCTAGTGGAGTGAGTCACCTCCCTTCTAGTCCCCACCCCCCCATGCAGGCTGTGCATTCCTGAGAAGCCCAGTCAGAAGATGGGGGGAGCTGTGAGGAGAGAGGCAAATGGGGGGCATAGACTGGGCAAATAAAATTAATCCTTTTGCAGAATGGCTAATAAACTACAGAGGTTGTTACTCAAAAGAGGATATGAAAACCAAAAGGAGTTCCCAAAATTGTGGGTAAATATGTCAACAACAGAACCAGAAAAGTCACTTTTGAGAAGGTGGGATGTTAGCAGTCCGATTACTATCAATTGATTCTACCACCATTTCTACAGATATGGACTGGAGTCAACTGTGTACAGACTAGGCCACCCCACATCTTGTCCCCCCCCAGCCACGGTCCCAAGAAAGGACCCTTACCTTATGCATTGCAACAACTTCCAATCTGCTTTCAACATCAGACACAAGTATAAGAAGTAAGTACAGTCAGCACTTTGAACCTGAGGGTTCCACATCCCTGGGTTCAACCAAGTGCAGATCGAAAATATTCAGGGTAAAAAAACTCATGCCTGTACTAAACATGTACAGACTTTGTTGTTGTTGTCATTATTCCCTGAACAATGCAATATAACAACTATTTGCATAGTATTTACGTTGTATCAGGTATTATTAGCGATACAGAAATGATTTAAAGTATATGGGAAGATGTGTGTAGGTTATATGTAATACTACACCATTTTAAATAAGGGACTTGAACACCCAATCATTTTGGTATACAAAGGTGTGCTGGAACCAATCCCCCAAACGCCAAGGGACAACTGTATATCCTATAGTAGGTTAGAAGGGGGTAAGTGATTGGGGAAAAAAAAAATTAAGCAGGGGTAAATGTAACTTAGAGTGTCAGGTGGTGGGGGGATAGAGTGTGCAAAAAATTTTTTTTTGGTGGTGGTGGTGTTAGGGTTTGAACTCAGGGCTTCACACTTGCTAGGCAGGTGCTCTACCACTTGAGCCACTCCTCCATCTCTTTTTGCTCTGGTTACTTTGGAGATAGGGTCTTGCTTTTTGTCTAGGCAGCCTGGACTATAATCTTCCTATTTTATGCTTCCTGTCCTAGCTAGGATGACAGGCATGCGCCACCACACCAAGCTATCAGTTGAAATGGGGTCCCACAAACATTTTTCCTTTGACTGGTCTGGAACCGAGATCCTCCTGATCTCAGCCTCCCAAATAGCTAGGATTATAGGCGTGAGCCGCTGGAGCCCAGGTTGAATGTGGCTACTTTTGAATAGAGTGACTGGGAGGGGGAGAGATATGAGGATATCTTGGGGAAGAGTGTTCAGGCAGAGGGAACAGTCAGTGGAAAGTCCCTGAAGTGGGATTGTACCTGGCCAGCTTAGAGGAACTCAGACCAATATGGCTGGAGTGGGTGAGGATGCCAAGGTGAGTGGGAGAACCACATTGGGAGCAGCCTATAGGCTTTGGTCAGGCTCTGGCTTTTGCTTTAAGTAAGATGGGGAGCTACTGCAGGATTTGGAGCCTGGGAGTGATACATGTATCCCTGCTTCACATAGAGCCTCAGGTGTCATACCCCATATAGCCCCTACCAACCACTGTGCAGGTACCATCCTCACACCTCAGTTCACTTGGAGACTCGGGGATGCAGAGTCCCAGCCCCAAGTCTCCCCAACAGACTCTGCCTGAGTAGATCATCTGGATCCTTCCAAATAGTTCTCACAGAATGATCCAGTTTTTCTCCCTAATACCTTTGGCTTCCATAGTTAATCCTGCCATACCCCTTCATCCTGACCTTAAGAAAGGCTCTGAGAACAGCTGGGGCTCCCTTGCTCTTGAAACAGCCTTTTAAAGAAGGGTTTTCTACCCTCTTTTCTGCCTCTGTCTGTGCCCCTTCATTCTGGCGCTCTGTCCACTCTCACTCTGTGTTTGCCTCAACTTTCCTTTCTGCCCTTATTACCATCCCCAGCTGTAGGGACTTGGGTCATTTTCTCCCTCCTGTGTCGGGGATAGGTCTTTTGGCTACTCTGGGCCTTTCTGTTCTATTATGCCCTGTCCTATCACTTTTGCTGCAGGTCTAGCCCAGCTTTAGGAGGAGAGGAGTGAGTGGAGCAGTGGGGCAGGTGTTCAGGGACCTGGGTTTCCCAGGGGACAGGGGCTGAAGGTGTGGAAACCAGCATACCTATTTTTGCTTCTTCTGCCTGGGACTTCCTCCCAGCCAGCTCTTTTTGATGGTTCAAATCTCACCTCCTTGGAAAGCTACCTCATTGCCCCCAATGTACTCAAAGGCTCTGTTCTGACCATAGGACTCACCTCCATGTATTTTAATTTTTACCTCTCTGCCTCCCACACGCTGAAGGTAAGGGACCTTGGTCCTGTATTACTCACTGCCCTCAGGCCCTTGTGAGCACTAGGCCAAAAGTCTGTTGTTGCCGGCACCCGGGGCTCACGCCTCTAATCCTAGCTACTCAGGAGGCAGAGACCAGTATCGCGGTTCCAAGCCAGCTCCGAGACTCTATCTGGAAAAAAAAAAAAAAATCACAAAAAAGGCCTGGCGGATTGGCTCAAGGTATAAGTCCTGAGTTCAAACCCCAGTACCACCACGACAACAAAAATGTCCGTTGTTTCTGAATTATGTGATTGAAGAGGGAAGAACTAGGATTGGAGAGTCATACCGCAAGGAAAACTGGATCCCAGAAGGGATGGAGTGGTGAAGAGCGGGGTGCCTAAGCCCAGCCCCCACTCCCACCTTCCATCTGGTCCCTTAGGCTTCCCTTATGGTCCCAGACTCCCAGTGTGGAGTTTGCCTCACTCTTTCCATCCCATCCCCAGCTCAAGATCTCCTTCAGCGAGACAGCCCTGGAGACCACGTACCAGTACCCCTCGGAGAGTTCAGTACTGGAGGAGCTGGGCCCGGAGCCCGAGGCCCCCAGTCCCCCCAGCACCCTAGCGACCCAGCCCGATGACGATGAGGACGAGGAGGAACTGCTGCTGCTGCAGCCCGAGCTGCAGGGCGGGCTGCGCACCAAGGCCCTAATCGTAGGTAAGCAGGGACGCGGCCGGCCCGATGGCGCCCCCTGGTGTCACGGGCACCGAGGTCCAAAAGGGAAGCGAGAGGGTTCCGTGGTGATCCTTGAAGCCGGCTTGACAGCACCTCAAGCTCAACCCCTCGCTGGTTGTTGTTCTTGTGCTCCTTCTTCTCTTATGGTACTGGGGGTTGAACTCACTTTGCGTGTCCAGATTTCAAAACTAAGGCTCTTCTGAGCCCTCCAGCCTAGTTAAAAACAGGAGTGAGCTGGAGGCGGATGGCTCACGCCTGTAATCCTAGCTACTCAGAAGGCAGAGATCAGGAGAATCACAGTTCGAAGCCAGCCCGGGCAAATAGTTCTCGAGACCCTATCGTAAAAACCCATCATAAAAAAGGGCTGGTGGAGTGGCTCAAGGTGTAAGCCTTGAATTCAAGCCCCAGTACCCGGAGGAAAAAAAAAATAATAAAAAAGGTCTGGTGGAGTGGCTCAAGCAGTAAGAGTGCATGCCTAGCAGCGTGAGGCCCTGAGTTCAAACTCTAATGCCACCAAAAAAAAAGGAAACCAAAACAGGAGTTGTATCAGGCAGGCCTGAGTTTGAATTCCAGCCTGTCTTACTTGTGTTGTGATCTCAGAGAATCCATCTGACCTCTGGCCTCAACTTGTCATTTATGAAATGAGGTTAATAATAAACTATCTCCTGGGCTGGCAGTGTAGCTCAGTAGTAGATTGTGTGTCTGAGGTCTTGGGTTCAATCCCAGCGCTGTAAATAATAATAATAGTGATAAAAATAATAACTACCTTCTGCAGTTGAGAGAATTGAGTCATTTTTGTGAAGTACTAGAACTAGATATTAAATTATTTAACCTCTTCTGAGATTACTATGAGATTAGATGAGTTGTAAGAATGCCTAGTGCAGAATCCCAGCTGAGTGTTGGCTGCTGTTACTAGTGGTAATAAGCACCAAGACTTGGAAGAGCCAGGCGCTGGTTGCTCATGCCTGTAATCCTATCTACTCAGGAAGCAGAGATCAGGAAGATTTCGGTTTGAAGCCAGCCCAGACAAATAGTTCTAAAGACCCTATCTCGAAAAAATCCTTCACAAAAAAGAGCCGGTGGATTGGCTCAAGGTATAGGCCCTGAGTTCAAGCCCCAGTACTGAAAAATAAAATCTTGGAAGATGGTATAGAGCTTCCTGTATGCCAGCTACCCTTCAGTTTGGGAAGGGGGAAGAGATGGGAGGCAGCAGCCCTTACTCACTCTCTATTCTGATTACCTCTCTCCTGCAGATGAGTCCTGCCGGCGGTGACCATCTTCTGACATGGGGACGTACTTCCCTCCTTCTCAGAACTGAAGATCCTAGAGCCCGGATGATCCAGAGCAGACAGACCCTGAAAATGAGCCTGGCAGGAAAGGGCAACCAACATCTTCCAACTTGCTTTCCCTATCCCGTTTCTGGAGGCAGAGCCAATTGCCTAGTTTCCACCCTATCCCCAAGGTCCTTTAGTGTGGGTTAGGACAAATGGGCTGGAGCATTCTTGGTGATCCAAGAGTAAGCACCAAGAACTCACTTGGGGTAGATATGAGGCAACCAACCCCCCTCCATCTCCATGACAGGGTACACTCCTTACCACACCCTTCCTTGACTCTCCACCACTCACTAGGAACCCTTAGGATTTAAGCACTCATCTTCCTGGAAGGTCTCAATTCCACTCCATTTACAGAACATCTTGCTATCACCACCATCCCTTCCCTGGGTCACTGCCCCTTTGTTTACAGCTCCTGTCTCCTCTCTTGACCACAGCCTGGTTTACAAATCCCACCAGCTCCCAGCCCCACCTGCCAAGTCCCAGGTTTACAAGTCACACCTACTTGCCCTTCCTCTGCTGTCCCCTCCATTTGTCTGAGAGTGACCTGGAAGTGTGGCTTCCTGCACATTTGCTCAGTATTATTGTGTCTCAGTATTCTCCAAGAGGGAAGGCTGGGGATCCTATCTCTGTCCCCCATGTGAGTTATTTAATTCTGTCCCTCCTAATGGTTCACAACTGAATTGAATTGCAGTGGTGTGGGGGAGCTAAGGAAGCACTCCCCTCGCCCATTGCTCTTTCTTGCCTGATTTGTTTTTTAACTTTCCATAATAAAATGGAGCTCACTCCAACTCTCTTCTTGCTTCTATTTCTTTAGAAAAAAAAAAAAAGGTGCATGTGACGTGAGACTGTTGGTTGTGGGAGGGGAAATGATAGGCGGAGGAACCAGGAATTTGGCACTGACTTACAGAAAGGGGTCTGGGGAGCTGCGCATGGGTTTTATGAAGGATAAGCAGCAGTCATGAGGAAAGGCAGTTGATGTGTCCACTAGTCTAGAAGTGCTGTGTGTGAGGACAGACTGTCAGTTGAATTCACTGCAGTATTCCCATACCTGACATCCAGAAGACACAAAAGGAATGAATGACTGAGTACATAAAAGAACAGATGAAGAAAACCAAACAGTTGGAAGCAGAGGTCACTCTGAGTTGAAGGGTTCCAGATTCTGAAGCCAGCTACCATGAAAGCCAGGTAGGGTAGGACACACAAGCCATGTGGCTAATCAAGAGCCATTTATTAAAGAGTTGGGACCATGAATACTAAATCTGAAACTGCTGCAAAGTTAGTGAGTACGTAGAGAAGTTCTGTGTCCTGGGTTCTCTTCTGAAAGACCATAACTTTTATATTCCTACAGGTTTAAGAATCACCAGTAAGTAATTCATGACTTTGCAGTCCAAGTATAGTTGATACCAGGGGATTCTCCCATTTCAAAGACACCTTTGTCTACAATGTGAAACATCTATGTTTTACTCATCAGGGTTTGTTTTGGCTTTGGTTTTGGTTTGAGACTCTATATTGTACAGGCTTGTCTCAAATTCCTGTCTCAGCTTCCCAAATAGTTGAGACTACAGGTTTAAGACACCTACATCTAGTTGGGTTTTTGTTTTGTGTTTTGATTTTAGCTATCCAGCCTAGTAAAGACATAACTGAGTAGTCACAGTCCTATCTACCTACCTACCTACTACATGTTGCTTCTCTTGGACTAGTCAGAAACCCTCTTTTTTTTTCTTCTTCTTCTTTTTTGCGGTACTGGGGCTTAAACTCAGGGCCTTCACCTTAAGCCACTTTGCCAGCTCTTTTCTGTGATGGGTTTTTTCAAGATAGGGTCTTGTGAACTATTTGCCCACAACTGGCTTCAAACCGTGATCCTCCTGATCTCTGTCTCCTGAGTAGGTAGGATTACAGGTGTGAGCCACCCGCACATGGCTTTTTTTTTTTTTTAATACTAAAAAAGCAAAAAGTTCTTAAATTTACTAGGAAGATGGCAAAAACAGCCTGAGGTGGTTTGGATATTGGGGGAAACAAAACAGCTACATAAGTAGCTAATTTATAGATAAAGATCCTAATCAGTTGTGACCCAAAAAAGGCCTGGGCACGAAGCTGTGAGATACTAGTGATGTCACAGTCCATTTCAGAAACAGAAAATGAGCCTGGCTGGGGGCTCACGCCTGTAATCCTAGCTACTCAGGAGACAGACATCAGGAGGATCTCGGTTCAAAGCCAGCCCAGGCAAACAGTTCTCCAGACCCTATCTAGAAAAACCCCAATATAAAAAACAGGGCTGGTAGAGTGGCTCAAGTGGTAGAGCATCCACCTAGGAAACCTAACAAGTATGAGGCTCTGGTAGGAGGTTATGCAGCCTGGGCAAAAACTTGAGACCCTACTTGAAAAATAACTAAAAGCCAAAAGGTCTGAAGGCAATGGTAGAGTGCTTGAAAGTGGAAGGCCCTGAGTTCAAACCCCAATACTGCCAAAAAGAGAGAGGGAGAGAGAGGAGTGGAGAAGAGGATTTCTGAGCACTCCAGAGGGAGAGGCAGGAGGACCATGAGTTCGAGGCCAGTCTGGACTACACAAGATCCTGTGCCTACAAACAAGAGTGTCTCCCTATGTTGCCATAGATGGTAGGGAACTCCTGGGCTCAAGTGATTCTCCTGCCTCAGTCTCCCAAATGTCTATAACTACCTAAATAAGAGATGTCTATAACTGCTTAAATAAGAGATACCAGTGAATTTCTCAAGCTGTTAGCAAGGTACAGTTCGCCTTTTTTAACCTTCCCAAGTTTCCTCTTGGAGTTCATCCCTTAGGACTAACTTGCATTCACTCCTGGGAAGGATAGCAGAAAGGTCACTCCTAATCAGCACAGACTAATCTTTTTTTTTTTTTTTTTTTTGGTGGCACTGGGGTTTGAACTCAGGGCCTCACACTTGCTACGCAGGCACTCTTACCACTTGAGTCATTTCACCAGCCCTTTTTTTTTTTGTGGGAGGGGAGAACATAGTTTTTTTTTTAATAGGGTCTCGCGAATTATTTGCCTGGGGTTGGCTTCGAAACGCGATCCTCCTGATCTCTGCCTCCTGAGTAGTTAATATTACAGGCTGAGCCACTGCGGCCGGCTCTCTCTCTCTCTCTCTCTCTCTCTCTCTCTCTTTTTTTTTTTTGGTGGGACTGAAGTTTGAACTCAGGACTTCACGCTTGCAAAATAGGCGCTCTACAGCTTGTGCCACACTCCTAGTTTCTAATTGGTCCTCATCTTCCAATTTAACATGCAACCTGCTCCCCTTACCTTCCATTATTATTATTATTTTTGTGTGTGTGTGGTACTGGGGCTTGAACTCGGGGTCTACACCTTGAACCACTCCACCAGTCCTTTTTTGTGATGGGTTTTTTGGAGATAGGGTCTGGCGAACTATTTGCCCGGGCTGGCTTGGAACCGCTATCCTCCTGATCTCTATGTCCTTAGTAGCTAGGACCCAGCTACCAGCGCCCGATTCCTTCCGTTATTTTTGATTCCATAGAATCTACACATTTTACTTATTTATCATGTATCTCATCTCCCCGAACCCACAATGCAAAATTCGGAGAGATATTTCTGTCTGATTTGTTCTCTGCTCTATTCATAGCAACTGAAAATGCCTAGCACACCTTAGGCACTCCCAATTCGTTGCTTTTATTAAAGGGAGTGGAACGCTCGCGTGCTGACTGACCATCAGGGGGCGACAGAGAGATCCAGCAGAGACAAAAATGAAAGTCAGGAAAGATTCTGCGAGATTTAAACTCGCTCGGCCACCGTAGTAGCCGGAACAGTGCAGCCCCTTCCGGATTCTGCAATACGGGAAGATCTTTTGGAGTCGCTCAAAAACGAACTCCGGAATCTCAACGCAGCTCCTTCGTGGAGCTGAGGCCCCAGCCCAGCGCTCCAGGCCTCCGACGGGCCCGGTATTGGCGCGGCTGCTCCGGACGCCTCAGGGCTAGAAGTAGGGAGCCTGGGTCGCCATGGCGACGTCGGCGGGGCTGGAGCGCTGGGTTCAGGAGGAGCTGCACTCGGTGCTGGGACTGAGCGAGCGGCACGTCGCCCAGTTCCTGATCGGTACCGCGCAGCGCTGTGCCTCCGCCGAGGAGTTCGTGCAGCGCCTGCGAGACACCGATACCCTGGACCTCAGCGGCCCGGCCCGGGATTTCGCGCTGAGGCTCTGGAACAAGGTGTCTGGAGGGATGGGCGGAGCGGGGCGTGGGAGCCGCGGGAGGTGGGGTGGAGCTGGGGAGGGCCCTTAGTCCACGTTAGGCTCAACTTGTATCTTTGTCCTCTGTCACCTGGACAGCGTGCTAGGCATTGGGCGTTCAGCTCAGTGAAGACAGAGGAGGCCTTAAGTGTTGGGTCAAGTGTTTTAGAGCAATGTTTTCGCAATGTTTTCTTTTTTTTCCAACTTGAACCTGCGTATGATCCATACAGTTCTCTTGTTAAAATGCAGATTCTAATTCGGTAGAGATGTTACTTCTACATTTCTAACAAGTTTCCAAGTGATGCTGGTGGTCTCCAGACCACAGTTTGAACAGCGAGTCTATGCAGTGGTGTGTTGTAAGCTCTGTGGGAGGACAGAAGAGGTAGGAGTACAGATCAGGAAAAGCAGATCCAAAGATTCCTGGAATTTGCCAGGTCGAGAGTGGGGAAAGGTATAATAGGTGAACTCCTGGTGGGCAGGAGTGTGCTTTTCTTGTCTTTGGCTATTCCTCCTACCTAACAGTTGCCTGCTCAATAAGTATATAGAAAGAGTAAAACTATTTAGACAATGGCAACAGCCTGGGATGGCTGTCCATAGGGTGCTTGAAGAGAGATGAGGTTAGAATGTAAGTGCTGTGAGTGTAACTCAGTGGTCAGGTACTTGCCTAGTCTGCATGAGATTCTGAGTTGAATCTGCAGCACAAAGCAACAAAAACAAAAACCAAACAAAAAGAGTAAGTGCCAGTCATTAGGGTAGGGGCATTATGTATCTGTTCAGCCCTATGTAGTGTGTCCCTGGAGTTTAGTACTGTGCCGGGCGTGTGACCACACTGTCAAATTCAAAATAATTCTTGTAGCATGTCAGTCCTTGTGTAGGAATGATTTAATTGTTGGGAAGAATAGAGCTGTGAGAAAGAGACTGAGCAATTAAGAATTGGGTTTGAGAATTTAAGCTGAAAGGGCAGAGATTTTTTTTCTGTGTATTCTTGTACCTGGTGCATGGGACAGGCTTCAATAAATGTTTGTTAAATAGGTCACTGAAAGGAAGATCAGAAGCTGAGGGGCCTCATTCAGGCTGATGAACATAGAGTGAAGTAATGTAGAATGATTGAAGGCTGTTTGTTTTTTGTTTTGTTTTGTTTTTTGCGATACTGGGGTTTGAACTCAGGGCCTCATGCTTGCTAGGCTTGTTAGGCTTGCTAGGCAGGCACTCTACTTCTTGAGCCACTCCACCAGCCCCGTTTTGTGTTAGGTATTTTCAAGATAGCGTCTCATAAACTATTTGCCTGGGCTGGCTTCGAACCATGATCCTCCTGAGTGGTTACAATTACAGGCATGAGCCACTGGTCCCTGGCTTAAAGCCTGACTTAAGATCAAGTAATTCCTTAAATTAAGAGCAGAGCTAAGCTGGTGGTTCACCCCTGTAATCCTAACTACTTGGGAGGCTCAGGGTTTGAGCCCAGCCCAGGTAAGTAGTTTGTAAGGTCTCATCTCCAGAATAACCAGAGCAAAATGGACTAGAAGTGTGGCTCAAGTGGTAGAGCGCCTGTTTTACAAACACAGATCCCTGAATTTAAACCTCAGTCCCACCAAGAAAAAAAAGAACAGATCTAATAGGGGTGCTCACAGTCCTTTATCTTCCCTCTACTAACAGGTGCCACACAAGGCAGTGACAGAAAAGCCAGCTCGGGCAGCAGAGAGAGAGGCCCGTGCTCTGCTAGAGAAAAACCAATCTTACAAGTTGCTGGAAGACAGTGAGGAGAGCAGTGAGGAGACTGTGGGTAAGGCCGGAAGCAGCCTCCAGAAGAAGCATAAAAAACGGAAACACCTCAGGAAGAAACACTGGGAAGAGGAGGAAGAGGAGGAGGAAGAGGTTTCTGAGACAGGGAAGAAGAAGATAGAGTAAGTCAGCAGCATGGAGAAGGAGGATAGGGTTGGTGGATCATGGATGGTGGATCTAGATGCCTCTTTTTGATGCTCTGGGCTGTGCTGCGTTGCAGAGAGGGTAAACAGCAGACAGAGAAGCCAGAATCAGAGGACGAGTGGGAGCGGACAGAGCGCGAGCGCCTTCAGGACCTAGAGGAACGTGATGCCTTTGCTGAGCGGGTTCGGCAGCGCGATAAAGATCGGACTCGCAATGTCCTGGAGCGGTCAGACAAGAAGGTGCGTAGAAGCAGCACCTTCTGTAATTCCTCAAGGTCCCTAAGCTAAATCTGAGGGCCACTCCGATTGCAGAGACTGTGATCTCTGGGAAAAGAGGAGCCATCTCCAGGGAAGTGCTCCTCTCTGCAGTGAGAGGAGCCTTGTGGGAAACAGCTAAGGTAACTCTTGCAGTACACAGAAAACCATAGAAATTCTTCACTTACGGGACATTTCCTTGTGCTCATTCGGAGGGTCCAGTCTGGACAATCTAAGGGGACTGGCAATGATAGGATATGAGGGCTTTTGGGCGTCATGCCCCTCCACTCTTGGTTTCTTCTCCTAGGCTTATGAAGAGGCTCAGAAGCGCCTCAAGATGGCTGAGGAAGACCGGAAAGCCATGGTGAGTCCCAGGGCTCAGGAAGCCAAGATCACAAGATAAAAGGAAAGACTGTGGTAGAATGATTGGCCATAGGGAAAGGGGATAGAGAGGTAGTTCAGTGAGGATGCTGATGGAGTGGTCACGTCTCCAGAGGAAGGGATTTGGTTGATAAGAGCCAGCTGAAGACAGAGTTAAATTGTAGAGAGAAGAAATCTCCTCGTGAACCCTCCTTGGCACTTTAGGGTCAGATCATTCTGTATCAATGAGGAAATGTGGCTTTTCCTATTCCTGAGACTTAATGAGACCTCAGGCAACTAGAATGTTGTTAAACAGGTGACTGGAGGCAAGGGGCATGGCAACTGTCCCATTGCCTGGAGGTATGCTGACCATTCAGTTTAGGGTCACCATCTCCAAACACCTCCCACCTAATCTCTGCTTCCCCCTGTGGCTTTGTGATCTCCCTGTGGTTTCCTGAGTTGGTCTTCTCGCAGAAAGGCGTGGAGCCCTTGTAATTCATGAACTGAGTCTATGGTGTGAGTCTAGGTAGAGTAAACAGTTTTCCAAAGGCTTGGTCTTGTTAGAGTGACACTAATTTCTCAAAAGAATTTTGAGACTCTTGAGGTCCTAAGAATGGCCTCTGGCCCTCAGGTCTCTCCTGACCAAACCATCTCATGTCCTGTCCCACAAATGACTAGTTAGAGGTTTCTGAGAAATCTCTCAGTGAAGCTGTGGTGGTTTTATTTGCCCAAATTTAATTTTTCTTTTCTTTTTTCAATTACACAAAATTTCAAACAAATAGAAAATTTGACTGAGGATGTAACTCAGTGGCAGAGTGCTAACACACACAAGAACCTGGGTTCAATCCCCAGCACCTCCAAAAAAAAAAAGAAAGAAAAGAAAAAGAAAGTATAGCAAACATTTTACATACTATTTGAATTTAAAAATGGCTGGTGCATACTTGTAATCCCAGCACTCAGGAGGTTGAGACAGGAAGAATCAAGAGTTTGAGACCAGCCTGGGCTACACAGCACTATCTCAGAAAAAAAAAATTGCTAATATGCAATGGTTTTTGTTATTGTTTCTTTGCCTTTTCAGTTTTGGATGATTTAAGAATTTTAGACATTGTGGCATATATGTCAGCATGTATCTCCCAAGAATAAAGACATTGTTCACTAAAACCACAGTGCCATGTCACACCCAAGAAGATGAACAATAGTTTTTGTGTATCAGTAGGAATAAGTCTACAATAGTTTCCCCATATCTTTATTTTAATTTTTTGGTGGGACTAGAGTTTGAACTCAGAACTCTGCACCTGCAAAGCAGGTGCTCTACCACTTGAACCACACCTCCAGTCCATTTTGCTCTGGTTATTTTGGGCATGGGTGTCTTGAGAGCTATTTGTCTGGGCTGGTCTTGAACTGCAATCCTTCCAATCTCAGCCTCCCAAGTAGCTAGGATTATAGGAGTGAGCCACCTGTGCCTAGTTCCCAGCGTCTTTAATAATTGCTTTAACAACTGCTTTTTCCAAAGCAGAATGCAGTAAGGACTCATGTGTTGTATTTGGTTGTTAGGCCTTAAGTTTTCTTTGTGTTCTCTTTTGTCCTGTACGATGTCCTTATTTGCTTTTTGTTTTGGCTGGTAGTGTGGTTTGAACTCGGGGAGGGCCTCATACTTGCTGGGCATGCACTGTACCATTTGAACCACATTCCTAGCTCATTTTTCTTTACCATTTTTTAAATATGGTCTGGTGCTTTTGCCCAAGGCCAGGCTCAGTTTTCAACCTCCATCTCTCGCTTGTCTGGGATTACAGCTCCATATCACTATACCTGGCTTGTTCTTTGAAATAGGGTCTTGCTAACTTTTTGCCTGGGCTGACCTTGAACCTCTATCCTCCCAGCTGTGTCTCTCAAGCAGCTGGGATTACAGGCATGAGACACTATGCTTGGTCAATTATTTGTGCTTGTTTTGGGGAGTGAGATAGGAGAATAACCTGGGTTTAAACTCAGGGACCTAGGCAAGTGCTGTACCAGTTGAGCTGTGTCTCCAGCCCCAATTATTTGCTTTTAATTACAAATTTCCAAAGTAAGGAAATTCATTAATGACATTTTTTTTCCATTTTTTCATGCGTATGTCACACTGGACTCGTGAGTGAATGTTTATTTTTCAGCATTTTATAATCTCATATTCTTTTGGTGCTCAAATTGTCCTGATTTTTTTTGTTTGTTTTTGTTTTTGAGGCAAAGTCTCACTATATAGCCCAGGTTGGCCTCACACTTTCTTTATAGTCCAGGCAGGCATCAAACTCATGATCCTCCTTCCTTGGCCTCCTGCTGGTGGGATTAAAGGCATGTACCACCAAAGCTGGCAGTTTATTTATTTATTTTTTTGAGACAAAGTCTTCCTGTGTAGTCCAGGCTGGTCTCAAACTCACAGTTTTCCTGCCTCTGCCTCCCAAGTGCTAGGATTATAGGTAAGTGACGCCACACCCAGCTTCAGACTGCCGTGGTTTTTTCCCCCATATTCGAAAAAAAAAAATCATTGCCTCACCCATCAGGTAGAAGGTTGAAGGTGCTTTATTGTGGTACTCAGATTAGAGCACAATCATTAACTCCATTCACAGAACAAACAAAAATCTGAGCAACTAAATAGGACTAGAGCTCCCAAATGTGGGGCACTGTGGGGCTTTGCTCTGAAGCAGCGGAGGTTGTGATTGCAGGGAAGATGATGTTGCCAAGCCGGAAGGCTCACGGTTAGAGCCAGCATGGGTCTTAAGTATATTGCTAGTTCTCTGCTGCAGTCCATCGTATGTTCTGGGAAGCCTGTGGCAAAGGTAGAAGCCAAGTAACACACTGTGTGGACGGAGAGGTTAGACCCAGAGAGCTAACTGTCCCTGGTTACAATTTGCCTTCCAGAAACTCCGCCACTCTAGTCCCCAATTTTTATATCTTATTAGTGCACCTACCCCAGCATTTGGCCATTGAGTTTTAGACAGTAATTGGAACTAAAGACTGCCTACTCTTGGCTCTCTTGTCTCAGTGGTTTTTAGTTTGTGATCTTGCTTCTAAATATTGGGTCCACGTTTTTTATTTGCCCCTTCCCACTAATTTCACTAAAATAATAAGAGCAAAGTATTCAAACAATTGCCCTGATGTAAGTATACTGACAAAGATTGTATCGCTGCTCAGAGGAGCTTCCAGCTAGATGCTGCTGCTGGAAGGCAGTGTGTGTAGTCAGTGTATGGCACTCCAAAGAGGCCCAGCTATGGGCACATCATTAGTGAGGATGCATGCTGCAGAGGGAGGGTGGAGGGTTTTCATGGAGGTTTTCACACTTCAGGGTAGGTAGGGGAGGGTGTTGCTGCCCTTGATGAGGATTTGATTATCCCTTCCTGGCCCAGGTCCCTGAACTGCGAAAGAAATCCCGCCGAGAGTACCTGGCGAAGCGGGAACGAGAGAAGCTGGAAGACCTGGAGGCAGAGCTGGCTGATGAGGAGTTCCTCTTTGGGGATGTGGAACTGAGTCATCATGAGCGCCGGGAGCTCAAATATAAGCGGCGAGTGCGGGATCTGGCCCGGGAATACCGGGCAGCTGGAGAGCAGGAGAAGCTGGAGGCCACCAACCGCTACCACATGCCCAAGGAGACCCGAGGACAGGTGAGTGAAGCCATGTCACCTCAGGGGGTGTAGCAGTGCCTTGACTGGCTTTTTCCTTTTCTTGTCTTTCCCAGTGGGCAGGTTAATGACAGGAGGAGGGCACTGGGCAAGGAGGGCTACCCCATCTTCTGGCCTTCACATGCTTCTCTCTCCATAGCCAGCTCGAGCTGTGGACCTAGTGGAGGAGGAATCGGGTGCCCCTGGGGAGGAGCAGCGGCGCTGGGAGGAGGCCCGGTTAGGAGCAGCATCCCTGAAGTTCGGGGCCCGAGATGCTGCTTCCCAAGAGCCCAAGTATCAGCTGGTGCTGGAGGAGGAGGAGACCATCGAGTTTGTCTGTGCCACTCAGCTCCAGGGTGATGAGGTGAGAAGGAGAAGCCTGGGACAATATGAGGAGGCTTCAAAGCTGGCATGGAGCTCACAGCCCTCCCTTCCTTCCTTAGGAGCCGTCAGCTCCACCCCCATCAGCCCAGGCCCAGCAGAGGGAATCCATCCAGGCTGTCCGCCGAAGCCTTCCGGTGTTCCCATTTCGAGAGGAACTCCTGGCTGCCATTGCTAATCATCAAGTCCTCATCATTGAAGGCGAGACTGGCTCAGGGAAGACCACCCAGATACCGCAGTACCTCTTTGAGGAGGTTGGTCATCACACCCTCCCGTGGCTGGGTCTGGACATTGAGGCTCAGACTTGTCAGAGTGCCTTTCCCGATATTTTGAGGAGTTGTTTACCTGCCTTTTCCACTAAATCATGAGGTTCTTGAGGATAAAGACCATATCGTTTTTGCATGTCTCTTCTCATTTCCTGCCATGATATCTGTGCCTGCTAGGTGTTCAGTACATTCAGATTGGGAGGATGAGTAGATAGATGAAGAAGGGTGTGCCTAAATGTGGACCTCTTCAACACAGCTTGACCTCGGCTCCTCTGTCAGGTCCAAAGAAGGAGGAGTTAAAGGGCTTGGCTTTTAACCTTTTCTCCCCCATTGCTTCTGGGTTTTCTCAGCTGATCTGTTCCTTTACAGCTCAAGTCTAGTAAAGCCCTGACCACGACCAGAGGCCTAGCTGCAGACCCAAAGGACTGCAGGGCTGGTTGAACACATCTTTGAGGGAGTCTTCCTATTCATTTGCCTTTCTTTTTTGTTTTTAGCTTCTGTTCTCTCCTTTCCCCCTGCACCACCTGGCTTTTACAACTTCTTTCTCTGAACCATGGCTGGCCCTAGGGGGCATATTTAGCAGTTATTTTCTTCTTTGTCATTCAGGGTTACACAAAGAAAGGTATGAAGATTGCCTGCACCCAGCCCCGGAGAGTGGCAGCCATGAGTGTAGCCGCTCGTGTGGCCCGGGAGATGGGTGTGAAGCTTGGGAATGAGGTGAGATCTACAGGATGTTAGGGGTGAGGGTGTCCTCTAGGGTCTGGGACTCAGTCCACACTGTTGGATTCAGGATCGTACACCACATGTCCAGACATTGGTCCTGTTTCCCCTGTTCTCGAGTTCCCCTAGGGAGCATTAGCCCACTCTTGTTGGCTAATGGCTCCCTTGTCCAGGTTGGCTATAGCATCCGCTTTGAGGACTGTACATCAGAGCGAACGGTCCTCCGCTACATGACAGATGGAATGCTTCTCCGGGAGTTCCTCTCGGAACCTGACCTTGCAAGTTACAGGTATGCAGAGGCCCCCCCTTCTCATAGGAAGGTCATCCTTCGCTCTTCCCCTGCTTTGCTGTCCTCTCCTCCTCAGTGCCTTCCTGTCTCTTTTAATCTCTTTCTCTCCTTTCTTCCCACCCAGCCAGTTTGGCCATTGCTACCCTGCTTTGCCTTTCTTTTCCTTGCCTTTACCTTACCTTACTTTACCTTACCTTGCCTTTCCTCTTAGCATATTCTTACTTCTGCTGCTTCTAATATGAATATCTGCTGACTCTTAGCAGACTCTTGGTTTTGATCCAGAGATAATCTCACTTGTCCCAATCCCATCTTCCAACCTGTACATCTTAACTGATTTCGTCTGCCAAGGCCTAGATAGGCTGCAAACCACAAGGCTCTGGCCTTTGCTCACTTTCTGTCTGTATTACATAACTGGGATGCTGTCTTCTCCTTAGGCCCCTCCCCCTACATTCATTCTTGGGTCCTTTGCTTCCATCCTTCCCTTTCTCCCAGGGGACCTGGTGTCCAGTCCTGCATTGTCCACCTCTCTTCCCTTACGGCTCCCCCATTCCTTCCCCAGTGTGGTGATGGTGGATGAGGCTCACGAACGGACCCTGCACACAGACATCCTTTTTGGGTTGATCAAAGATGTTGCCCGCTTCCGACCTGAGCTCAAGGTCCTGGTAGCTTCAGCCACGCTGGACACTGCCCGGTTTTCCACCTTCTTTGATGATGCCCCTGTCTTTCGAATCCCTGGCCGCAGGTTTCCAGTTGACATCTTCTATACCAAGGTGTCCCCTCAGGGAAGATGGGCTTAAGTCTGAGGCAGGAAAACTGGAGCCTTAGGAGGAGATTGTCCCTAGGAGGGAAGGGCAGAATGGGAAATCCAAAGGATAAAGAGTATGTTGGACCAGGCGCCGGTGGCTCACTCCTGTAATCCTGGCTACTCAGGAGGCAGAGATCAGGAGTATTGCGGTTCAAAGCCAGCCCAGGCAAATAGTTCCATGAGACGCTATCTCGAAAAACCCTTCACAAAAATGGGGCTGGTGGAGTGGTTCAAGGTGAAGGCCCTGAGTTCAAGTCCTAGTATCAACAACAAAAAAGAGTATATTGGGCTAAGAGGAGAATAGAAATTTGTCTAAACAGGTGGTCCCCCGTGACCCCATGTCTTCTTCCTTCCCAGGCTCCAGAGGCCGACTATCTGGAAGCCTGTGTTGTGTCTGTGCTGCAGATCCATGTGACCCAGCCGCCTGGGGATATCCTGGTGTTCCTTACAGGACAGGTGAGTGCTGTAGTGAGAAAGGGAATGGTATATCCTGGGAAATACAGGGCTGTTGTGTGGGCCTCTGTGACTCTGGGACTCCTGGTGCTCTCCCACTCCCACATCTAGGAGGAGATTGAAGCTGCCTGTGAGATGCTCCAGGATCGCTGCCGCCGACTGGGCTCCAAAATCCGGGAGCTCCTGGTGCTGCCCATTTATGCCAACCTGCCCTCTGACATGCAGGCTCGAATCTTCCAGCCCACGCCCCCCGGAGCCCGAAAGGTCAGTTGGAGAAATCTCCACTCTTCACTCTACAGTGCACACTGTGTGGTAGTGAAATAGAAGGTGTGAAATGGACATTGCCTCTGGGCTGGAGACAGAATGAACGTGACACAAACAAGGAAATAACCAAGTGCATGATCCAGGGAGCAGGTACTGTAGAGATTCAGAGGAGAAAGGAAGTCCTGTGTATGCCAGGAAGTGGGGTTTGAAATGGACCTTTGAGAAAAACTGGGGAAATGTCAGAGGAAGACCCAAGGTGTGCTAGAGGTCAGAATGGAGCAGGTGGGCTTAATGGGAGGCTCATGTGTTGAGGCAATGGGCCAAAGCCAAATCTGTTTTGGGCCGAAATGAAGGGGAGCTTTGGCAGGTGGAAGAATTTGAACTTTAGATTGGGTAAGTGGCAGGATTTTGAGCAGAGATGTAACTTTCAGTCAATAAATATTTAATGAGGGGTAGAGTGTTTGCCTAGCATGCATAGCGTGCGTGAAGCACTGGCTTCAATCCCCAGCACTGCACACACACACACACACACACACAAATTCGTGTGTACCGATACGCCAGTTATAATTTTAGGGGATGAGGACATAGTGATGAGTTCTAGCCTCCCAGAACTTGCATTCTAATAGAAGGAGGCAGGTTGTATTTTAAAAAAAGACTATCCTGGTTGCCATGTGATTGATACAGAAACTGACTGTTACAGGAAGTGATGTGTGAGCTAGAAGTGTGGCTCAAATGGTAGAGTGCCTGCTAATCTAGCACGAGGTCCTGAATTAAAATTCCAGTATTGCCAAAAAAAAGAAAAAAGAAAAAGAGTGATATGTGAAGATGAATATGGAAGTGGTGGTGGGAAAGATGGGGACAAACCTGGACATGCCCATCTCCCATATCTGAAAGAAAAACCCTCACATTTCCTTTCTGCATTGTTCCCCTACAGTCTGCCATCCCCACTTCTCTCATCTTCCACCAGCCTTGTCCCTTTTCCTGATCTTGGACACTAATTTCGTCCACTCCTGCCCCTCACTGTACCTGTTTCTCCACTGCTAGATTTCCAGGATTACTTTTTCTGGGTATCCAGGTGGGTGGGATCTCTGGGTGACACCATGTCTTCTCACTTAGGTGGTTGTGGCCACAAACATTGCAGAAACATCACTCACCATTGAGGGCATCATTTACGTGCTGGATCCAGGGTTCTGTAAGCAGAAGAGCTACAACCCCCGCACAGGCATGGAGTCGCTCACAGTCACACCCTGCAGCAAGGTCAGCCTGGTTCTCTCCAGGGTAGAAAAATGCAGAATGGTCCCATAGGAAGGGTTTAACTCAGAGCAGGATGGGATGAGCAGTCTGCATTCTCCCAGATTTCTTTGTAAATATTGCCCTCTTTGTTTCCTCTGACCACATCATCAGCCAGCCTGCCTGTCCTTTCTTTCCAGGCTTCAGCCAATCAGCGGGCTGGCCGAGCAGGTCGGGTGGCTGCAGGGAAGTGCTTCCGTTTATATACAGCCTGGGCCTATCAGCATGAGTTGGAGGAGACCACAGTGCCTGAGATCCAAAGGACCAGCCTGGGCAATGTTGTGTTGCTACTCAAGAGCTTAGGTGATTGGGCTACCCAGTGCTCCTGAGAGGGAGTTGGGGTGCTGGGGTCACTGGTCCAGTATGGCAACTCTGTTCTATCCTTTATACCTTTCTCCAGGGATCCATGACTTAATGCACTTTGACTTCCTGGATCCCCCACCATATGAGACCCTACTTCTGGCTTTGGAGCAGCTTTATGCTCTGGGAGCCCTCAACCACCTGGGAGAGCTTACCACGGTGAGGTAGCAGGACAGGATGAAGTAAGGGGTTGGATGGCTCTGGACAGCCCTGTCATGGTGGAGGGGAACCTGAGGGAAGACTGACCTCAACTCCCTTTCTTCTCCTTAGTCTGGCCGAAAGATGGCAGAGTTGCCGGTGGACCCCATGCTATCTAAAATGATCTTGGCCTCTGAGAAGTAAGCCTCCCTGCCAACCCTGGGCATGCTCTGTCTTTGGGGCTGTCTCCTTTTTTTTTTCATCATATTCTTCAGCAAGTAATAAGTTTATAAAGAACTCTTAATGCCACTTTTGAGACCCACTATATTAAACACAGTCCTGTGATTGATTGTAATATTAAATGGGCAAGATTAACAAATACAGAAAATCCACAGACATGAACAGAAGTGGAAGATTTTCCATCTGTGAGAGGTACCTTAAGAGAGGGTGCTTTTGGAACTTGCTCCTTCCTAAAGTTTCAGGCTGAAACACTTAGATGTAGTACTTTTAAAACCATTCTTCAGCCAGTGGCTCATACCTATAATCCTAGCTACTCAGGAGGCAGAGATCAGGAGGATCATGGTTTGAAGCCAGCCGGGGCTAATAGTTCTCAAGGCCCTATCTTGAAAATACAAAACACAAAAAGGGCTGGTGGAGTGGTTCAAGTGGTAGAGCGCTTGCCTAGCATGAAGCCCTAGCATGAGTTCCAACCTCAAACCTCAGTTCTGCCCAAAAAAAAAAAAAATGCCATTCTTCTGCTGTGGTTGAGGTCAGAGATCTTTCCTTAAGCACATAAGCACACTGCAGCACCCTTAGAAGTCCCTGGTGCTTCCTGCCCCCATGGATATCCTGTGTAACTGTTTCATCTGTGCCGCCACCCACCTCTCCACCCTGCAGCTGCTGTCACCAGAATCTGTTTGCTACCTGATTTGTAGCCACTGTCCCAACTGGCCTTCCACACATGAAAAGCATCCATCATAGCGATAATTTTCCCTTCACTGTGTATCTGTTCTTAGGTTTCTGGCTTTGAACTTTCATCTTTTTTCTTTTTTGCCCAGGTACAGCTGTTCAGAGGAAATCCTGACAGTGGCTGCCATGCTCTCTGTCAACAACTCCATCTTCTATCGGCCCAAGGATAAGGTTGTGCATGCTGACAATGCCCGTGTCAACTTCTTCCTCCCTGGCGGGGACCACCTGGTTCTACTAAATGTGTATACACAGGTCACTGGGCTTGGGTGAGTGGGAATGCGGGAGACTTAGGAGACTGTAGTTCTGCTGTATACTTAAGCACAGCCCCCTCTTCACAGTGGGCCGAGAGTGGCTACTCTTCCCAGTGGTGCTATGAGAACTTTGTACAGTTCAGATCAATGCGCCGAGCCCGGGATGTGCGGGAGCAGTTGGAGGGGCTCTTGGAACGTGTGGAAGTTGGTCTGAGTTCTTGCCAGGGGGACTACATCCGAGTACGAAAGGTCAGTGTTTCTTCAGTCTGCTGCTGTCTGCCTAGGACCTCCTGAGGAGCAAGCTTCTTTCTTCCGAGGGCGTGCAGCAGTTACCCAGCCTGTGCTCTGCCCTGGATGGAAGATACGTTCTCTGAAGCTTGTTTTTCCCCAGGCCACTAGCTTGTTCTGTGTGTTCTTCACATAATCCCTACCTTTCTACTTCTTCAAAAGCCTGAACTACAAAGGTTGTGAGGGGAGGACCCCCCACATATCTTCCTGACCCGTTTCTTCCCTATCTGCTTCTTAGGCCATCACTGCTGGTTACTTTTACCACACAGCACGGCTAACACGCAGCGGCTACCGCACAGTGAAGCAGCAGCAGACGGTGTTCGTTCATCCCAACTCTTCCCTCTTTGAGCAGCAGCCACGCTGGTTGCTCTACCATGAACTTGTCTTGACCACAAAGGAGTTCATGAGACAGGTAAGGGAACATTATCTACCGAGGTAGGTGGAGATTGTATGGGGAGACCACATGCTGGCAAGCTAAGAACCCAGGCTCATGTTGCTGGGACTGGCACAGAATGCAAACCAAAATGCATTGGTTTAATACAGGCTCAGATGGAAAGACATCCTAACAGCTGTCTCATTCCGAGATCTGAGAACAATAATTCACTCAACAAATATATTAATATGGTGTTTAAGGAGCTGGGGCTAACAAACGAAGCAGATGTCTGTCCTCACAGAATGTAGTTTAGTCTTTTCATTCCAGCCTTTTCTCAAGGATAGCGCTTACTTGGTATCTTAAATACATGTAGAAATATGTCTGCCCTTTAGAGTATATAATATAGCCAGGCACCTTTTTCCCTAGCCTTGAAGTCAAAGGGGAGAGAGAACCTCAGGCCACACACCCAAGATTCTAGAGTGGAAAGAAGGGAACCTTACTTTTTCTCTCTTGTAGGTACTGGAGATTGAGAGCAGTTGGCTTTTGGAAGTGGCTCCTCACTACTATAAGGCCAAGGAGCTAGAAGATCCCCATGCTAAGAAAATGCCCAAAAAAATAGGCAAGACACGAGAAGAGCTGGGGTAGAGCAAGGGTCACAAACAAAGGGAGCACAAACAGAACCTGACACCGGCACCTCCTTTTCCTTCTTTACATTATTTAATATCTATTAAATAAAATTATTTTTGGAGTAAAGCTTGTGGGAACTTTTGGTATACAGAGAAAGTGACATGAAATTCTGTCTCATCGTCACTTAAACTTTATTATTTACAAGTTAAATTACACAGCAGCTTTACACAGCATGAGATGGAAAGGAAGAAAGGAGAGAAACGAGGGGAGGCAGCTGGCTCTGGAGATTCTTGGCTGCCTCCATCTCCTTTTGTGCGTAGCAGTCTTCAGTGCTGCCTTCATCCGAGTTCCTGGATCAGGCCTTAGAACACACATGTAAGTTGGGCTCCGGCTCTGCTGATAGCCCCAGGGTCACCAGTGCTCCCACTAGCAGCTTCTTGACAGGTGTTGGAGGTGAATGTGAAGGCATCAGCTGCAGAGAGAACAAATAACAGAAGGTGGGAAAGAGTATATAGATGTTCTACCCTTCACATCATCCCCATGCAGTCCCAGGACTCACTTTGTCTAGGTGATGACGACAAATGAGGCCACTGGAATTCAGGTAGAAGGTGGAATAGGCATCGTAGGTCCTAGGAAAGGAAAAGACTTTGAGGGAGGTGCTAGTCCCAAAACTTAATTCAAGCATTTGTGAAAATGAGAAGTTCCTAAACTTTGCTATTTATTAGATAAACTGGGGAACCTCTTTTTTTTCCTTTTTTTCTGCAAGACAGGTTTTCATTATGTAGCCCACACTGGCCTAAAACTTCTGCTCCTGCCTTAACTTCCTGAGTGCTGGGATTACAGATCTGTGCCACAAAGCCCAGCCACATGGAGAACTTTTAAAAAACCCAACGTTAAGGATGGACCCTGAGCAAAAAGTCAGAATGGCCCTGATATAAAAGATCCTTAGATGATTTCACAGTGCAGCAGTTTGGAATTGTGGATTTAAATGGTTACATACCCTGTTACGAGGCTAAGCCTAATGAATTCTTAGGACTCTACTAGCCATAAATTAATCACTTTACCTAAGGTGGTGAAGCTCAATTTGGGAGGCAGCAGTTCTTATTTTTTCAGTAATTATTTGAGGATACATGCACATGAGGAGACAAGTTCAGAGGTTTCCTAATATACTCCCCTAAATCCCTATTTATTACTTTTGTTACATTAAAGTAGACTAAAGCTGGGCACTGGAGCTCACACCTATAATCCTAGCTACTGAGGAGGATAACTCTAGGTTTGAAGCCAGCTGGGGCAAATAGTTCGAGAGACCCTATCAGGAAAAAAACCCATCACAAAAAAGGGCTGGTGTAGTGGTTCAAGGTGTAGTGGGCCCTGAGTTCAAACCCCAGTACCCAAAATAAAACAAAAATAATAAAGTAGACTAAAACAAGATCCCTGTCCTCAAGAAGTCTACAGTCAGGATAAGTCAAGGATCACTGGGAGATGAGAGCATCAGGTTCCTAAAAGGGTAAGATTAGAGAGCTCTTTCTCACTTCTCTCCTACCGATAAAGCTCTTCTTTGTCACGCTTGTAGAAACGCAGAAAGAGCATATGGATGGGCAGTCCTGTGAGCCGCCAGCGGGCTTGCAGGGTCCAATTCTGTGGATGGCGGGTCAGCTGTAGAACTTCCAACTGAAGTTGTGCAAAATAGTTCCAGGCCAGGAAGCGGCAAAGGGTCAGTGACAGAATATACCATGTTCGGCCTCTGAAGGAAGAGGAAAGAAAACCAAACTAGCTTCTGTTCAAGGAATAGGGAATAATTTTGAGAAGCAGCCTGGAACCTTCTCTGAGATAAGAGTTAAGGGTATAACACTAGACCCTTTTCTCCCTTCAAGGGCCTACCCCTTCCCCAATTCTTACTTGGTTCGTATGTTCAGGATCCCATTGATGAATTCAACATCCGATGAATATAGAGTATAGTCGTGTGAGTGAAGGAAAAGGCTGGGAAGCTAGGTGGAAGAAGATGGTGTTAGCTCAGTGGGAAAGAAAACATGATCCGATTTTTTTTTTTTGAGACAGGGTCTCACTAGTCCAGTCTGGACTTGAACACGTGATCCTACTCCCTCATCCTCCAGAGTGCTGGGATCATGGACCTATATCAACACATCTGACTTCTCAATTTTGTATTTTTAATGCCTCCTTACCCCATCTCTAAGTGAAAGGTCATCTCATCCTATGTTTAACATCCCTTAATTCAAATGGAAGAGCATCTTTTTCTTCAGGAAAATGTTTTTCGTTGTAATTGCTGTTGGTTTTCATTTCTGTGGGCCTGGGGTTTGAACTCAGGGCTTCATGTTTGCAAAGCAGGTACTCTACAGCTTGAACCATTCATTCCTCAGTCCTATGGCACAAAACTCAGTTGCCTGACCTATCTCCAAGGATTACCTACACCCTTTCTCACTACAGATGAAAGCCACTTCTGAACCGACTTACCTCTTGCCTCAGTCTCTCATACATGACAGCCAGGTGTTCCTCCATACTAGGATCTCCTGATGGAGTGGCAGGGGAAGGGCAGGCAGTTCCAGGAGCTTGGAAAGGTATCAAAGCCTCAGGATAGGGGCAGGGAGGTCCATCAAAAAGGCTCCTAAGTCCATCCAGGCAACCACTGTGCAACTCAGGTCCCAGTCCCTCCTCCCCCTTTCCTGGAGGTAGAACCACCCATGCTGAGTTGAGGGCCTGGACCTGAGGGAGAGGTAGTGGAGGAGCTCTGGGAAGAGCCTGAGTGGGAGGCCGTGGGTGTGGGGGGAACCAGAGAAGAGAAGATGGGGAAGTGGCTGTCACAGAATGGGGCCAGAGGGGTGGGAATGGTAGAGTCCGTGGAGAAAACTGGTCCTAAGGAGACAGAACAGAAGGGAGAAAGATAAGCATTCAGCTGCCTAATGCTCCCTCATCCAAGCTGTGCTCATTAACAAGCTTCCCATCCCACTTATTCCTCCTGGCAGAAGAGATGAAATACTAGAGGAAAAAAAAGGATGGACTCATCTCCATCTCTACTGAAAACAAGAGTAAACAGTTTTATGTGATACAGGTATGAGTACCTCTCCTAAATGGGGCCAGTTTCACCTCTGATAGGCAGAATCATCAGAATACATATCTGATGAACAAATGAGTAATAGTGTTTTTGTTCTTTTGTGGCGGGTTTTTTTGGCAGTACTGGGGGACTTGAACGCAGTGCCTCACGCTTGCTAGGCAGGTGCTCTGCCACATTCCACCAGCCCTTTTTTTGTGTTGGGTGTTTTCGAACTATTGCCCCGGCTGGCCTCAAACCACGATCCTCCTGATCTCTGCCTCCCAATTAGCTAGGATTAGAGGTGTGAGTCACCAGTGCCCAGAGAACAGGTTTTATTGTATTGTGGATGAAATGATGTGGTCTACCACACGAGTCCATGATTAACTCTATGAGGCAAATGTTGTGCAGAGAAAACATCCACTTGAAGGAATTTAAGTTCCAGTTCTATTGTACCCTTAGGCACTCTCATTCCCTAAGCCTCAGTTTCCTATAAACGTCCTCGTATAAACGAGGACGGTGAAGCCTCACTGGGTTATTATGAGGAGTATACACGATAATGAACGTAAATAAAACTTTGGAACCCATAAAAGCAGTACATAAATGTATTACCACTTAGGGCCCCACTAAATGACACAATTCTAGCCGACTGTTAAGGGCGGGACTTTATTCTCTGGTTTAACAACGTTGAACTTTGAGACGGGAGTCCCTCCTCTCCTAAGGAATCCCCAGGGGGTCTCCCCCGACGTGGGGCGCGGGAGGGCCGCGCGGTACCTCTGCCCAGGGCCGTGTCCCACAGGCGCCTTCTCTGCTGGGGGCGTGGTGATCTTGCCCGCCTGGGCACAGGGGCCCGAACCTGGTTCACCCGGACCGGCCTTCCTGCCAACACCGCTCCCGGGTGCAGGACGCGCGGGCTGCACAGCATGGCCCGCAGGTCTGGTCCGGGTTGGGGAGCTCCTGGGCGGCGCCACGGCCCTGCGGCTAACCTCTCCGTCCCTGCCCTTCAAATCACCTCCAGGCACAGGTAACCGCGAATAGGGCACAGAGCGGACGAGCCCCGCTATCTCGACCTCGACCCGGCGTGCATGTCCTTAGACGGGGCAGAACCCACGTTCCTCCGCAACAGTTCCACAGCGCCGCCTTCCCGGCCCTGCGGCCCCGAGTCCCTCCACGAGCCACGGGGAACAGGTTGGAAGGGGCGGTGGGTGCCACTGCGCCTGCGCAGAACCCGGCGCGCCCCGCCCCACGCACCGGCTCTGAGGAGGGTCTCTCCCCGCCCCCTCGCTCCTCTCCCTTCTTGGCTCTCACCTGGGGTCGAGCCTGGTAGGCCCGGAGGCAGGGGCCGAGTCGCCGGGCCGCCCCCCGGCTGGGGTGGTACATGATCTCCCGGGAGTGGAGAGGGCTCCTCCCGAGTGCAGCCTCCGGTCTCCTCTCAGGGGTGAGCGCGCCCCGGAGCCGGCTTCGCGAAGGGGAAAGGAGGGAGGGGGGGAAGGGGCTGAGGGGAGGGAAACGGAGATGTTGCGCGCTTGCGCACTGCGGACTCCAAGGCGGCTGCAGAGCGCCTGCGCCTGTCGGACGGTGATGGCTTAGAGCGCTTGCGCAGGAAGCAGACCCAGCTCCGCACTCAAAGCGAAGACGTGGTGGAATCCGGTAAAATGAGAATGAGGGGTGAATGGAATTAAAATAATACTGGCCAAGTTCTCCAACAGCTCTCATGATAAAAATAAATATTTTTATTGCTCTGGTTAAAAATGTACAAATGATTTAGAACGTATAAGAAAGCCTGTTGAATGAATGAATGAATGCATCCATTATGAGGGTTGGGATTTGGCTAGGTCCTGTAGTGAGAAATAATACTGATTTCGAAAGTGTGAGAGGATGGCTCTGGTCACCAAGGCCTGGTGCTGCGACGTTCCTGCAGGTTTCGAATGAACCTGGCGTTGAACATGTCCCCACCCACTGTCCAGGACTGGGCTGGTGGGGTCGGGGCCTGGGCCTGGGCCTGGGCCTGTAGAGGGCCTGTTTGTATGGGTTCCTCCCCAGACCCATCCTGTGACAAGACCTGCTTCTGACTGGCAGACCTGGTGGGTGGGGAGATGGACAGTGGGTTACTAAAGTGGGAGGTACTACAGTGGGAATTCACAGATTCTTCAAGGTGTTAGGTGCCAAGTTTTAATGTATAGGACACACCATGGGTATGAAGCTGAGACAGTTAATATGGTGTCCAAACAATCCTCAGAGAATGACAAAGGGAGGCATCAGAGCTCAACTTAGAGGGGAAGAGGCTTGTACAGTGTTAGGAGGATTTGTGGAAGGAGCTGGTATCTAGTTCTCACAGTAAGAGTTAGAAGGACACAGCTGAGAGTAATGTTAAGACAGGAGTCAGGAGGTGTTGGGAGCTGTTAAAGGAACGGTTTAGACCTCACCTATTCTCTGTTTCCTTTTCCCCCTGCTTCGATGCCTGGTTGCCTGTGGAAATACCAGGCATGTACGTGGGGAGACTGGAGTTGATAGTGCATGTGGCTTACTTGATTTGAGGATAAGGAGAAATGAATACTTACCTGTATTGGGGGATGAGGAATCCAGACCCCCATGACGGCTGTAGCAGCAGCTTTGGGCTATCAGCCCTGGGGGAGTCCCCCTGTAGAAGAAATGGGAGATGATGGGGAAGAGGCTAGTGGATGAAAGATGGGTGGGTATGGAGGGATCAGAGGAAAGGAAGAACACGAATGGCACAGGAACAAAGAGAAGGGGGTAATTATCATTCCTAAGGGATTCTAATCTAAGTTTGTCCCAGAAAGCGGGAGGTGCTCATTATATACCCCAAGATTTTCTGGAGCAGTTCTAATTTGTCACTGTATTTATTTTTCTGCAGTACTGGGGTTTGAACTCAGGGTCTTGTTCTTACTAGGCAAATGCTCAACCATTTGAGCCATGCCTCCAGCCTGCTTTGTCTTTTCTAATTGGGGTCATGTGTAATGTGATCTAAATTATGTCATTAAAAAAGACAAGAGCCAAAAAATAATTTTGCTGGACCAGGTGCCCTGATGTTTGATTTGGAAAACATGCTTACCTTAAATATAAGATAACTCAGACCAGAGGAAAATAAACAGTAACAAGGCTAAATTTAGGAGGAAAAGGGAGCCTTTGGAATAGGGTGACAGACTGTGTTGAACTCTCAATGGAAATAAGGGCTTGTCCTGAGAGGGAGAAAATGAAGGGATTAGTGGGGCAGACATCAGGAAATCACATAGTGGGAAGAGGAATCTGGGGAAAGTCAGGAGGTAATTAGTAGATCCTGAGTTACTGGTAAATCTTGGCATCTCAGCAACAACTGGTCAGGATAAAGGGAGAAGCCACAAGGAGAACTAGAGGTTCCCGGAGAGACGGGAGTGGATATAGTAACCTAAAGAGACGGATTCAACAATCCCTCTGTTGAAACACAACCTGCAAGAAAGATCAGCAATGAAGATGTGGAGGGACATATCACATCGTGGGGGAGGAGCTCTGAGGCTCCATGGAGGAAGATCTGCAACTCTCAGGAGATGAAAGGGACAGAGATCCTGAGACCCCAGCAAAACAAGGGATGACGCACAAATGAGGCTGAGACTTGTTGGTTTTTTTTTTTTTTTTTTGTGGCTCTTTTTTTTTCATTGAAAATGTCAATTTAGAAAACACAAAAGAATTCACTTTAGTCAGACAACACTGAGAGGGAAAAGAAAAGGGAGGAGTGGGGAGAGGGAGATCCTGCTCCCAAGGATTTAAGGGAACACAGTGGGGGTATACCTGATCTACCACACATTCAAAGGGTGGGGAAGGGAAGGCTCTTTCCACACCCTGGGCCTGGAGCAGGGAAGGAGGTTCTTGCTATGGAGGAAAGAAGGAATGGTTTTCATCTCAAGACAAGTCTCACAAGACAGGAATATATTAACATATCTATCAGGGGGGGATGGATGAGAGAGGATTCCAGGATCTAACATCTTTGAGAGCCAGGCTTATCTTCAGACACATGGCTAAGAGTAACCCCAAGGCCCTTGCTGGGATCTACTGCCAAGAACAAAGTCCTTCAGAGAATCTGGATCTGGGGGAAGTGGTGCTGTTAGTGAGTCTCTTTTAGAGACCCCAAAGCAACATCAGCTTAGAGGTTCACTGATGCATACACACAACACATGGACATTAGGAGTTTGGCAATGTTGAGTGGACCCTGCTGGGAAGCTGGAAAGCTGCCCCACCTGACTGGAGAGCTCTGAAGCAGAGCTTGTTCAATGGCTGGCATTAGTACACTGAGAGTGAGAATGTGTCAGGCAGCACAAAGCAGTATTAAGAGCCACTAGTGGACACTGTAGAAGGAATATGGGATTATTTCACAGACAGGACTCCTTAAAAGGTTTCCCCGGCAGAGGTGACCCTTGGATCTTCTATGGTGGTCTGGAGCCTGACTGCAAGTAAGAGTGTGCCTTCTCTAGATAGTCAATAGGAGCCGCCCAGCCCAGGGATCTAGCTGTCTGTGGGAGAGTGTTCAGAGCATTGGGAGAGCAGGGGTGCCTTTTATGGTTAGAAAAGCTACAAAGTGTCAGGCTATTTGGGATCCTGACAACTGTCCAAGAAGAAATCTTATGGACCTGGTCAGTACCCATGGGGTCCTAGAGGATTCTCAGGGATCTCTGCCCACTCCAAGTCTCTGGGAGGAGAGGGGTGGTTATCAATATCGACTCTCTTCAGAGCGGGGAAGGGAGCTGTGGAAGGATGTCATGGACAGGAGGAAGGGAGAGGGAAGATGGGGGAGAGAGAAAAACAGAGAAGTCAGAGGTGAAAAGAAAGCTAGGAAGAGAAATAAAGGAGACGCCCACTCCCTGTGTGCTGGGAAGGGCTCTTGGCACACAAGTCATTGGCCTGGAATCCAGTGGCTCTCAATCTGTGTGAGAGACACTGCCCATCCCCAGTTAATGTTATTAAAAAAATTCCCCAGTTTTTAGGGCTCAGTCCCCCCGACCCAATGGATCGCCAAGTCTTCCTACTCCACACAACTCACATTAAAACTAGAGTTCCTGGTTCCTATTCTCCTTCACACTAACTTTTCCCAGACCACTGCACAAGTATTTGTTAATATATTTTTCTTGAAAGCTGTCAGGACTCCTTAATCCACTTATCAGTTTCACATTTCTGACAAATTCAAATTAACCTCTTTGACAGCTCTGAGACTCCTTAACCCTCCAGCTCCTATTACCTGGTGCGGCGACGCTGGGCTGGGCTGCTTCCAGGATCTGTGGCCAGCAGAAGGCGGGCAGTAGGGTGTGGGGGGCAGAGGCGCAGAGAACGCAGCAACTCCTGCTCTGGCACAAAGGGGCGGAGGGGCCCCCTTTCTGGTGAGTTTCCCAGGCTGCTGGAGCGTGGAGGTGGGTGAGCTGGAGGTGTTGCACGGCGAGGGGCCCTGTTTAAGGGCCAGGGGGGCTCCACAGCTACCTTCAAAACTGGGGAGAGGTAAATAAAGAGCAAGACAGAAAGAAGAAAATGGGGAGAGAAAAATAATAGTCATGATTGTAAAGATATGGCTGAAAAAGAAAAATCAGAGCCTTTAGATTTCACCATCCTTCCCTGGATCCCAAACACCCTCTTTTCTAGTGTTAAGATCCCCAAGCCCAGCCACCCTACCTCAGCCCCTCTTACATTCTCGGTCACTAGAGGAATATGGCTTAATGTCTCCCTCTGCTCTCTTGGGTGGTAGCTTCCTTGCTGGAGCTGGCAGTGGAGGGGGCACAGGTAAAGGAAGCATTAGAAGGCATACTTTGCATCCCTCCTCCCCACCACTCTTCTCACAACCCCAAACCTCTGCTCCCTGACACCACAGTTGTTCCTGGGAATGCCATCAAAGAAGCCGTGCTATGGCAAAGCCAGCACACCAAGGGGAGTTCAGGGGGAATGCTGGAGCACTTTTGGGGAGAGCCAGAAGGAGTAGGCCAAACACAGAGTAACAGGAGAAAGACCCAAGGGGAGACTGGGGGCCTGGGAGATGCAGGGGAAGGGTGGCTGAGGGGAGGTGAGCTCTTACTGTCTGTGGGTGCTGTCAGGCCCCCCTGGGATTCTGGGGCAGTGGAATGGTCCCAGCTGGGTCAGCGAGGACCCTGGGTTCCTCTAGATGAGATGGACAAAGCCCTTGGTTAAATGGGAATTTCTCTGGAGAGGACAGTGGGAGGAGGGGGTAGGACAGAACCTCTCCTTCCTGTGTGAAAAGATGTAAGATTAAAGTTTTATTTGGTTTTATACTCTTGGGGATATACCCAAAAGACTGTTACTCCAGAGGCACCTGCACACCCATGTTTATTGCGGCACTATTCACAATAGCCAAGTTATGGAAACAGCCAAGATGCCCCACCACTGACGAATGGATGAGGAAAATGTGGTATCTATACACAATGGAATTCTATGCAACCATGAAGAAGAACGAAATGTTATCATTCGCTGGTAAATGGATGGAATTGGAGAACATCATTCTGAGTGAGGTTAGCCTGGCCCAAAAGACCAAAAATCGTATGTTCTCCCTCATATTCGGACATTAGATCAAGGGCAAACACAACAAGGGGATTGGACTATGAGTACATGATAAAAGCGAAAGCATACAAGGGAGGGTGAGGATAGGTAAGACACCTAAAAAATTAGCTAGCATTTGTTGCCCTTAACGCAGAGAAACTAAAGCAGATACCTTAAAAGCAACTGAGGCCAATAGGAAAAGGGGAACAGGTACTAGAGAAAAGATTAGTTCAAGAAGAATTAACCTAGAAGGTAACACCCATGCACAGGAAATCAATGTGAGTCAATGCCCTGTATAGCTATCCTTATCTCAACCAGCAAAAACCCTTGTTCCTTCCTATTATTGCTTATACTCTCTCTACAAAAAAATTAGAAATAAGGGCAAAATAGTTTCTGCTGGGTATTAAGGGGGGAGAGAGGGAGGGGGCGGAGTGGGTAGTAAGGGAGGGGGTGGGGGCAGGGGGGAGAAATGAACCAAGCCTTGTATGCACATATGAATAATAAAAGAAAAGGGAAAAAAAAGTTTTATTTGGTTTTAAAATAAAAAAAAAAGGATGAGATGGAAATGTGGACATCTGAAAATGAGTTATCAGTAAGAAGTTGTTGACTGATGTACTGGCCAAAGTGCAATTTCCCCCTTCCTCTTAGATTCTCTATCTTGGATGGCAGAGGAGAGCCCTTTCAGCTAATTCACTGACATCATATTTAGTGTACTCCCATGTGGACCTGCATCCTCACTCTCCTCGCTGCCTGTAGATCAGCAGGAGTTTCACAGGCACAGCCCTGAAAACCATAGTGAGGCACATATATGAAAAGCCTCTCAGTGCCTGATGCTGGTAGATGTTAATCATGTTCCTTGGGTGGTCATTACTCTCTTTCCTGACTACTGAAGGTGACAGCCAGTCTCCAGGCTAGCCCTGGCAGGGGGCCCTTTTGTGCCAGTCAGCGCTGCACAGCCAGAGGCAGATGCACTTCTCTCCTTGAGGATGTACTGAGGGGAGGAAGAGTGGGGCTCAGGTTGGCAGAGAGCACGTGAGTTGTGAGGATGGGATGGGGAACCTCAGCAGCACAGAGGTTTGGTTTCTTCAGTTCAATTTCACTATTTGATTAAAAATTTTGAGCATTATCTTCTAAAGCTAAGATTTCAACTTTGGACTGTTCATGTCACTATTCTGACTGGAAATGGAAGGACTGTCCACACTGGCCTTTCCCTTTCTGGCTGGCAGAAGCCTGAGGAATTTACAAAGGAATTTGACTTTGTCCTAATTTGAGGGACCTGACCTAGCAAGAGTCTCCATTGACATCAATCATCAAACAGGCTCTGAATGGGCTTGCTTAAAAATCTTGCCAAGTATGGGGCTAAGGTTGTGTCTCAGTGGTAAAGTCTGTGCTTTAGCGTCTGTGAAGCCCTGGGTTCTGCCAAGTATAAATGCACCATGCTCCCATGGGCAAAAACAAATGAGGATGACTGCTGGAGACCTCCATTGCTTTAGAATTTTCCCAAATTGCCCACAGATAGCCCTGCACTCCTGGAGCCTCTAGAGAAGCTGGCCTTAACTGCACTACAGTTTCACCCATTCAATGCAGGCTTTACCAGCAGGTGTGGGGTCGAGCGCAGCACCACGAGAGTGACGAGTTGCCCTCAGAGAAGGAACAGGGGGCCCTGTGAGGAAGGAATTGGTGGTGGCCCTCAGTGGGGACCAGTAGGACCAAGAGCCCACCTCTTTCCTTCCCCTTATCTCAACTACATGACCAAAACAAGCAAGAAAACTTACGATGTTGATGGGCAAAGAAGCCTTCAAAGATCACAAAATTGTTCACCTAGAAGATAAAGCAAACAAAATGTAGTTTTCTACTCAGCCACTCACACGTAGGTACAGAACCAGAAAAACATAATGGAAAGTACAAAAGCCAAGCTTTTTGTCCTTGGTGATAAACCAGTCAAAAACCCAGACCCCAGGCCAGGTGTGGTGGCTCAAGCCTATAAGGTTTGAGGCCAGGCTAGGGAAAAAGTTCATGAGATTCCATCTCAACCAACAGTTGCTTGCAGTGGCACGTGCCTGTCATCCCAGCTACAAGGGGAGTACAAACAGAAGGATGTCCATCCAGGCTGCCTTGGGCACAAAATAAAACCCCGAGTTCAACTCCCAGTACCATAAAAAAACCAAAACAACAACAAAAACCAGACCCCCGCCAGTGGCTCACACCTGTAAACCTAGCTGCTCAGGAGGCAGAGATCAGGAGGATTGAGGTTTGAAGCCAGACCGGGCAAACAGTTTGCAAGATCCTATCTCAAAAAAATCCTTCACAAAAAAGGGCTGGTGGAGTGGCCAAGGCATAGACCCTGAGTTCAAGCCCCAGTACTGAAAAAAAAAAAAAAAGACCCCAACAAGCTGATCCTAAAGTTCATGTGCAACTGCAAAGGACCTCTAACCAGTCTTTTTTATTTAATTTTGGTTGTATTTGGGTTTGAACTCAGAGCCTCACACTTACTTGGTAGGCACTCCACGCTTCAGCCATACCCCTAGCCCTTTTTGCTTTGGTTATTTTTCTAATAGGGTCTTGTGCTTTTGCCTAGTCCTGCCTCTTTATGTCCTCCTATTTATGTCTCTGGCATAGTGGAATGACAGGCATATGCCACCAAGCCCAGCTAATTGGTTGAGATGGGTCTTGCTAACTTTTTGTCCATGCTGGACTCACATCATGATCCTCCTGATCTGTCTCTGGAGTAGCTGGGACTACAGGTATGAGCCATCATAGCCAGTACCCAGTCTTTTAAAAGGACAAAACAGGGGTTGTTGGAGTGGCTCAAGTGGTAGAGCCATGCCTAGGAAGCATGATGCCCTGAGTTCAAACCCCAATACTACAAAAATTAAATAAATAAAAAGGATAAAACTGAGAACTTGTTACTATAAAACTAGAGAAATCAAAATAGTATGGTAGAAGAGTCTCAATGCTAGAAACAAACATATTCAACAGTGTGGTAATGACGTATCAGTCAATGGAATGTAATTAGGAATCCAGAAATACATTCATATATCAGCTGATTTTCAAGAAAAGTGCTAATTGGACTGGATGTGTGGCTCAAGCAGTACAGTGTCTGCTTTGCAAGCATGACGCCCTGAGTTTAAACCCCAGTCCCAACAACAATAAAAAAGACCAAAAAAAAAAGAAGTGCCAAGACCATTCAATAAGGAATAGTCTCTTCAACAAATGGTCCCTGCACAAGTGAATATCCACAAGCAAAATTATGAATTTAAGCTGGGTGCTGGTGGCTCACTCCTATAATCCTAGCTACTTGGAGGCAGAGATCATGAAGATCTTGTTTGAGGCCAGCCCAAGCAAATAGTTTGAGAGATCCTATCTCAAAATACTCAACAAAAAAGTGGCTCAAGTGATAGAGCAACTGCTTAGTAAGCATGAGGCCCTGAATTCAAACCCCAGGACTGAATAAAAGAAAAAAATTTGGACCTGTACCTCACAAAGGAACTAAAAATAAATTAAAAACCTAAATGAAAAGCTGAATATATAAAAAGCTAGCAGGAAACAGGAAGATCTTCATGATCCTGGGTTAGGTAACAATTTCCTCCTTCTATTCCTCCCTTCTTTCCCTTTCTTCCTCCCTCCCTCCCTCTTTTCTTTTCTTTCTTTCCTTTTTTTGGTGATGGCAATTAACCCAAGGCCTTATGCATGCTTAAGAACATACTATACCACTACTCCATCTCAGCCCCAAGAAAGTTTTGTAATTATGGCAACAGAATACAAGTAAGAGAAGGAAAAATTCAGATAAACCAGATTTGTCATAATTAAAAATCTTATGCTTCACAACCCTATAAGCCAGGTATAATGGTACATGCCTGCAGTCCTGGCACTCAGGAGGCAGAGTCAGGTGGATCATGAATTCAGGGCCAGCCTGGGCTACCTAGTTGGACTTGTCTCAAAATAAATGAATGAATATAAAATAAAATAAAAGCAACTTAATATAAGAGGATGGAGAGAACCCAAGACATGGCCATCTCAGAGACAGGACACTTGGTTCACTGTAGGTACTCTTCTCTTCAATGATAATGTCCTTATTCAATTTTTCCCCAATAAGCAAACTGAACAGTGGGCAGGAGGACATGAGAAAAAGCCCAGTCAGTGCACAGTGCCCAGACACACTGCCTTGTAACTACTCTCTTTTTAAATTGATTCTCTGGCTCTTATTAGAGATAGTTTCAAAACAATTTCTTGGAAATAAATGTGTTTGTACCAAAAAAATATATATATTATATTTTAAGCACACTACCAAGAAAGTGAAAAGATAAACTGGGTATTTCAAGTGTTGCCTATATTCTCAGCACTTGCAAGGGTAAGGCAGGAGGATAGGGAGTCTGAGGCCATCCTGGGCTATACAGTAAGATCCTAAAAAAAAAAAAGAAGGAAACAAAGAGAAAGAATGGGAGACGGTATTTGTAAATCATACACTGATGGGGTGTTATATCTAAAATGTACAGAAAACTCTTTTTTTGTGTGTGGTACTGGGGTTTCAACTCAGAGCCTCAAGCAAATACTCTACCACTTGAGCTGCTCTGCCAGCCCTTTTTTTGAGTGTTGGGTATTTTCGAAATAGGTCTCAAGAACTATTTGCCTGGGCTGGCCTCGAACCTCATCCTCCTGCTGAGTTGCTAGGATTACAGGCATGAGCCACAAGTGCCCAGCTAGAACTTTTATAAATTAACCACCAAGAGAGAACACAATTTAAGGATGGGCAAAAAATCTGCATATTTCTCTAGATAAGATATTAGGGGAAAAAAAAATAGGGAAATTCAAATCCAAACCACACCCACCAGGATAGCTATTATTATTTTTTTTAAAGTAGGGAAAATAATAAATGTTTGCAATAATGTGGAGAATTTAGAACCCTTAAACTTTGCTAGTAGGGATGTAGCATGGTACAGGCACGGTGCAGTCACTGTGGAAAAACAGCATGTCAGTTCCTCAAAAGTTAAACAGAATTACTGTATGAACCAACAATTCCACTCTTAGGTACATACTGAACACTAAAAAAAAATACGCACATTATGGTGGCTCATGCCTGTAAAGGGATTATGCAGGAGAAGGAGATAAGGGACACAGTTTGAGGCCAGCCTTGGCAAAAAATTAGTGAGATCCCCTATCTCAACAAATAAGCTAGGCTGTGGTGGCACACAGCTACAAGGGAGGCATAGATAGGAGGACTGCAATCTGAGGCTAGCCCTGGGCAAAAAGCAAGACACTAGTTCATTTTTTTTGGGGTGGGGGGAGACCCTATATCATGTGATAGAGCACTTGCCTAGTCACACAAAGACCACCACCAAAAAAAAAAAAAAGAAAAAAGAAAAGTGCTCAAGGGCTCAAGTCTTTGTACACTTCTCAATCTATACTTTATTTTTTAGTGAACTCATTCTGTCTCATTGCTCTAAATACTGTATGTATTCTGAAAACTATTCACCCAAACCTCTGTCCTAGGGGATCTCTAGGGACGTACCTAACTGTCTATTCAACTGCACATATCACAGGTATCTCCAACTAACATATTAAAAAGTAGTATGGCTGGTGGAGTGGCTCAAGTGGTAGAGCACCTGCCTAGCAAGGATGAGGCCCTGAGTTCAAACTCCAGTACCACCAAAAAATAAATACATAAATGGTAGCAAAGTGCTTGCCTAGCCCTAGCATGTGTAAGGTCCTGGGTTCAAAACCTTAGCACCATAAAAATAAATAATTTTAAAATGGACTCCAAATATTTTCCCCCAAAGCCAATCTAACTATCATCTCTTTTAATGCCACTTCATCCTTCCAATTGCTCAGGCAAAAAGGGTAAAAAAGATACAGAAAGGGCTGAGCAGGCCAAAGTAAAGTACATACACAGTGGTGATACACTGAGAAACCCCTTTGAACATTGACTTAAATATCAATAACGAAAGACAAGACTGTAAAATAGGTACAGTGGGTGTGTGGAGGGGATACTTGTGGGAAGGGAGAAAGTGAATGAAGGAGATTAAGGTGAGGGTATACAGCTGATACACTGCATATATGAAATAGAACAAAGAAACCTCTTGCAATTGCTTTAAGTGGGGCAGGGAGGGCAGGTAGTGGGTGAGAGACACTGGGGGATTGATCTAACCAATGTACAATATAAGCCTATTTGGAACTGTCACAATGAACCCCCCGTACAACAAATATATCCTAATAAAAAATTATAAAAAAATAAAAAGAATTCATAGTGTGCCCACAACAGTGTCAGACACTCAATAAATACTTGCTGAATGAATGGATAGCATTAGTAACATATTGCTATACTTCTTTATAAACAAGCTTACCTTTCCCATAATAGACCAAAGCTCCCTGAGGACAGGGAATATGTATTATTTTGGACCTTCAATAAATGTTGACTGACTAAATGAGTAATGGTCTTTATGAAAACAAGGAGGTGGAAATGAGATGTGAGAAACAATCCATGATAAAGAACTAAAATACATGAGGGTGAAATGTCTATAGGATGTGTGACAATTCCACAAGAAAACAAAAAAGTATAAAATAAATCCTGCATCATGGGGAATAAGAACTCGTGGAAGACACCACTTCTTTGTCCTAAATAATGAATAAATTCAATGGGAATGTTCAGTGACGATCTACCCTCTGAGCCTGAGCCTCTAACCTGTGGGACCGTGGTCTCCAGATTGTAGTGCTTATTCAGGAACTTCAGCAGCTTCTGTGAGGGTCGGTCAATGGCCAGTTGATGTGGTTCTACTCGCTCTTTCTGCAGGGAACAGGAGACTCAGGGTAGGAGGAGGTATGGGGAGAGCATGCCAACAGGAACTCAGAAGCCTGGGAAGGGAATAGGAGGAAATGGGAACATTGAGGGGTGGGGAGGAGGGCAGCAGGGCCTCTGGAAGGGCTTAGGGCAAAAGAGCCTTTGATCTCATTTCGGATGAACTGGTGAAGAGATAATGATACCTGCAACATATACTGGAAGAGTTCTCGCCCATGGCCATGACGTTGCAGAGACTCATGGATGTAAAAGTCCAGGATGCAAAGTGGTTCTACCTCATTGTGAGCCTCACGATCATCCTAAGAGTTAAAGAACAATAAACATCTTTTAGGATGCAGGCATCTTTGCTACCCTCCAACCTCCAGCAATTTGTGCTAGAACCAAGGCATTCAAATCCCCAGCTTCCAGTAACACTCACCAGTACAAAGAGCTTCTTGTATCCAACTTTGAGGAAACCAACAATGGCTCCCTTCCCAGCCCTGTAGGATGGGGAAAATAATGAACAAGATAGTGGCAGCTGTCTGGAAAAGATAATAGTCAAATAAGGGGGAAGGGCCAAAGGAGGAAGGAATTAGGATGGAACAGCATTTGGCACTCACGGTCGGGCTGAAGTGTCTTTGAGCACATAAATAACATGGCGGTTACTTTGCATCCTCGATGCACTGGTGATGGGAGCAGGAAGATGCTGGGCCTACCAAGAAGACAAAGACTATTCCCAAGTCCTTTCTAAAGGAACTAGGTCTCCTTTATTTACCATCTCCACAAAGTACCCCCACTTTATTCCATCTAAAAACTCCCCAGTACCTTGGCAGAAGCCTTGCCCAGTTCATCTACAATGGTCATAATTTGCTGCTGCAGATCAACACTGTAAAAAGAGGGAGACAAAGAGTTAGCTACTCAATGAATAGAGGGTCCTGGGCAGTCACGCCTGCAAACCTGGACCACAACTGCAACCCAGGTTCAACCCTTAAGGCTCTCTGCCTGACTCTGACTCTCTGACTTCCTACCGGACCCCTCTGGAACCCAAACTTTTGTCACACCTTTCAAGGTAGTACACTCCCTCCTCCCTTGTTATGGTTACTATAGGGAAGCAAGAAAGACAGTCAACTACAGCCTTTGGGGTGGGACTATAATGGGCCAAGGGGTGAAAGGTCATATATCCAAACACGGATCAACCCCACTAGGTTTAGGGTCAAAGGACACCAAAAGGGCGGGCCGGGACCGCAAAAGGAGTGGCCACTAGTCCATTAGAAGGGGGCGTGGTGCCTGGACGCTGTATGGAGAGGAACCGAGAGAGAAGGGCCATGGGGCGGGTTTGAGATGTCACCGGGCAGGCGTTGTGGTTCCGGGTCGGCGGGCCGGGGGCCGCAGGTACTGGTCCAGCACCGTGATCCGCTCCGGGAGCAGCGCGTCCACATCGAACGGGAACTCCATGGCCCATTGTGCGCGGCGGACCCGCCCCGCGCGACGTCACTTCCGTCCCTGCCTCACCGCCCCGGGAGCCTTTATCTTCGGGAGCCCGTGGAGATCAGGACCCGCCCCCAGCGGGTTGCCCCTCCCTCCTTAGAAGTCTGGCCGCCGAAACCCAGTTTTTGCCATGCGAGGCCACTTTCCACCCCGCTTCCCGCCTCAGTGGTGCCGTGGCAACGCATTTTTCCTGGGCCTAGTATCTCACTCCCAAGCCTTCCTTAGCCCCTCAGTGAACAGCTGGGAATGGTGTGAACACTGCAAGGGGAGTGGAAGTACAACAGTCTTCATGAAAAAAATAGCAAGACGCCTGTTTCCTACCGCTTCTGGTTCCAGAAGCCACAGACAGGGCTAAACTCTGATTACCCCCTTCCCTACGACAGCACTCCTCTTACATGAAAAGAGCAAACCTGTCCAAAATGGCATTCATGTAAAAAATCCCAAACCGAGGCAGACTAATACACAGATTTATTGTGGAAAAAAGGACCTGGAAGAAGTCTCAAAAGTGACAGAATGTTGAGGACATACATAGGGATTGGGGTTTCCCATACACATCTGCACTGCCCTCCCTCAACAAAAATCACTTTCTTCCTGGACATCCCGTTTGCCACAAAATAGAACTTTTTGGGATACATCCCATCACATAATCCTACACAATTTCCTAATCCTTCAGACTCCCCCCCCAACACACACACCCAGTCCACAAGTCCTATGCAGCACTCTGGGGGCTAGTCTGCTCAGGGGAAGCTTCTCCTGATGCTGTGCAAGGCACCTCGGGCATTGACTCAGGTGGCGGGCCACTTTCTTCTAGAAGATTGCCCTGATAGAGGCGGCGAATGCGAGATAGTTCTCTCTCTGGTGGCTGTTTCCAGCTGTACCATGGATACCATGGGTCACCTGAAACCAGGGTGGGGGCTGGTGGAGTAGCACTCACAGCTCCATGAGATGTACTGAAGTCAAGGTCCCGGGGTTCAACCTGGGGAATGTGGTAACTGAGAAGACCTAAGGGATTTAAAAAAGGAACATGAAGAAGGAGAATGAGGAGCAGTTCAGATTCAGATTAAAAAAAAAAGGCCCTATAGGCTTCCTGGTGCTTACCACAGGCACTTCTGTATAGAAAGAGGCAGCAAAGTAAACCTACTCCATATACACCTCAGCCCAGGCCCTAGGCCTGTGAATAAGGAGATATGAGGGGAAAAAATGAAAAAAGGCTCTACAAATAGAAGGAACAGCCAGAGTCACTGGGTATATTTATGCCTTGTTGTAAAATGCACAAAGCAACCAGCCAAGGGGGCAAAGTATGGGCTCAAACACTGCCTGAATCAACTCCTCTGTGAGGCCTCGCAGCCTGCCCCAGGGCCAAGTAGCAGTGCTACTCTAGCAAGCAGTAGATCAAAGGTGCCATGTAACCCAGGGAGAGGAGTTTATACAAAAATCTTCCTATTATCTTGTTATGGCATTGGGACCACCAGTTGTAAAACAAGAGGGGAGGGAAAGGAAAGACAGAGAACAAAGGGACAGGGAAATAACAAAGTCAGAGATCAGGAAAGGGAGAAAAGGATAGTGGAATGGTGAAAGACTCCTGGAAAGAACATGTTGGATGCTACCTTGTCAGAGAAGTGGGAGCACTTATGTACACCTTCCAGGCCTGACTTGCTTTCCTTATGTCTAAGAAATCTGCCCTGTTCACTTTCTCATGCTTACCATGATCCCTGGCTTTCCGAATGGCCTGGGTCAACTTCTTGTGCTGCTTCATACAGACCCCTGTGGAAAGAAAAATTAATGTGGTGCTCATTCTATAGGCATAGGAGATAAAAGAACACAACAGTTTCTATATGGTGTAAGAGGGCTGGATTTGGAAGACCTGGCTTTACCTAATGACCCATGCCCCTTCCCTTTCCATGGAAGAATCCTTGCCTTTCTCTGAGAGATGTGATAAGACTTCAGCTATCTAGCCACTATAGAAAAGTCATTTAATGATACAGGCTGCAAGACATGGAGTTAGAAGACAATTCAATGGCAAATTAAAGGGCTGAATTTGACAATCCAAAGAAAAAGATCCAATAAGGAAGAAGTGATTTCAGATCTGGGGAAGATGACCTGAGAGTATAACAATTGTCCTTTCTGCCTTCTGAAGCAAGCCAGGCATGGTGGTACATGCCTGCAATCCCAACACTCAGAAGGCTGGGGCACGAGGATTGAAAGTTTAAGGCCAGCCTTGGGCTACTAACAAGACCCTGCCTCAAAAAAAAAAAAAAAACATCTGTAATCCTAACTACTCAGGAGGCAGAGATCTGGACGATGGAGGTTTAAAGCCAGTTGGGGAAAAAAGTTTCCAAAACCCCATCCCAAATAGTAATAGCTGAAAAATAACTAAAAGTAAAAAGGCTGGAGGCATGGTGAAGGTCTGAGATGCCCTGTGGCTGTAGTTAGGGAATAGATATAATCTTGAATTGTTAAGCTTACAATTTTAAATTTAGGAAATCTAATTGAAGTGACAATAGAGGGTACTGTCTGCCCAGTAAGCACAAGGCCCCCTGAGTTCAAACTCTATCAACACCAAAAAGAAAAAAAAGTGACAATGGTATAAAAGAACTGAAAGGATAACTAATCTATGAGAAATGCCTTTTTATAAAGGTGAAGAGACCTTAGTGAAAGGAAGTAATAGCCATTTACCTTTTTTTTTTTTGGTGGTAGTCGGAGTAGAACTAGGGCCTTGCACTTGCTAGGCAGGCACTCTGCCACTTGAAACATTCCACCAGTCCACCATTTACCTTTTAAGATAGTTTGTTTATAGAGATGCCTGCCTGTATCTTGCCTACATATAAATGTTTTCGCAAGTGAGTACCCCCATTAAGTCAAGATTTCCAAAGGATGTAACCACACTTTGCATGCCATAAATAGGAGCAACCAAATACCTGTTGACCAGCTGCATAAACAAGTAGTGCTCCAAAGAAAAGCTATTCTGGTAGAGACAGGAATGACAGGCTAACCTGTGTATGGGGCATGGAAGATGGTACCCGTGTGGGCGCAGACAAACTGTTCCAAGAGCTTCACATTCTGTGGGAAGAATGGTGGCGAAACATGAAGAGAGAGAGAGGGAGCAATTAAGATCTTTGGAGACAATGTGCATAATCCCTATAAACCCACACAGATGCTTTCCATCTGCTACGTCTCTCTGGATACTACCCTACTTCATGTCCAAGTTTTAGCCTTAGCAATTCACTGGCCTTTTAACCATTTCACATGCATATTCTACATTCTGCCACTGGACTCAGGTACAAGCCTCTTCTGCAGGGTTAACTTTCCAATGTCAGTCTTCGGGCAAAAAATTGAGGACAGTCTTCGAAAGTCCCAGAAATCATTCAAAATGATGCTGCAATATGAATGTATAAATGACTAAGATATATTATAGCACACTGAATATAGTGTACCTATACTTAAGAACAACTTCACAGTTCTAATTACAAAAAATGACTATCAGCAAATCAGAGGAAGTGAGACTCAAAAAAGCAGACACATCTGTGGAGCAGAACATCAAGCACAATTATCTGGGTTATTCAGTTTGTAAGTTCTCTTGGTTATATAGCTGGTTATCCTTCTATTTATAACCTTTCAGATACAGATGAAACTGGCAAGACCTATGGAACTCCCTTACAAGCTATGTCAGAAGGGTCATTAGAACAGCCAGATACCCTCATCTACTCACCATTAAAAAATGCCTTTCAACGTCCCTGATGGCCAGCAATATAGCTTTTGCTCTAATACCCTTACCCTTACCATAAGTTGAATAGAGCCCTCTGCCATTATTATTTTCATAATGCTTTCAAATTCTTTAAGGAACAAGCCCTGACCTCACAGTGTTGAAAGCTTTTGGGAATAAAAAGGTGTTCTGCACTCTGGACCATGCTTCATCTCTGTCCTCCAGTCATAGGCCCTACTGAACACTGACATGACAACGAAATAACCAGGTATGGTTATCATTTGTAATTCTACCACTCAGGCAGCTGAGGCAGGATGATCAAGAATTTAAGGCCAATCTGGAGTACACAGTGAGACTCTGTCTCATAAAGGAAAAAAAGAGAAAAAGAAAAAATTAAAAAAGAAAAGGAAAAACGTCGGCCTGGACATGCTAATAGTTGTAATGGACATAAATGAACCTTTGGGCATAACTATCCCAGTAGAAATAGGCATTTTTCTTATTTGCCAATTTAGATTGTAAACTTAAAGGCATAAAATAAACTACAAAGTGTACAAAGCATAGTTGAGGGTGAAAGGCTAGCGAGAAGAATATTTTTTTTTTTTTTTTTTTGTCTTTTTTTTGGTGCTGGGATCGAACCCAGGGCCTCACGCATGCTAGGCAAGCGCTGTACCACTGAGCTACATCCCAGCCCGAGAAGAATATTTTTATGTTGCCATAACGTCAGTACAAAATGGACCGCAGGTATCTGTAATCTTAGCACTCAGAAAACTGAGGCAGGAGTTTGAGGTCAGCCAAAAAACCACCAACAAACAAATGACAACAAAAAGAGGACGATGGGGTGCCAGAATATGAAGTATGGGGCACCTAACCTGAAGTAATCTCTTTAGCACTGCAAATAAGCTTCAATTCCTTATTCCGGATAAAAGATTCTCCTTACCCTAAAGTCGACATGCAACTTTTGATCCCGGCAGATGGGGCAAGGATTCCCAGCAACTTTATTCTTACGCTGTAGAGAAGAAACTGGCAGTTGAAGACATTCATAGCCTTGTCAAAAAAAAAAAGTGCTGCTGCTACTGTCACTAAAGCCTCTTGTTCCAATCCACTTCCCAGCCAGGTGCCACCCTCAAAAACTCACAATACATGTCTTTCGAGTCCGCTGTAGGGGTATACCACCTTTGTGGTTGCGGCAATAGTCAGCCCAGACAGGCTGAGAACCATAGCGATTCTGGTATTCTGAAAGAAAAGTTCAGACAAGTTATTCATGGCTGTTTATTTACCTCAGACCGTATCTGACCCTTTCCTTTCTCAATTAGGGGTACCTTCTGAGTCCAGATATTTCCAAGGTTCATTCTCATCAGGGGAAATGGGAACTGAGGGCAAAGAATCTTGTTCGGAGGAGGCTTTTGTGCAAAGAGTCTGGAGAGGAACCTACAAAGAAGGGGAAAAAAATGAGAGAATGAGTTCAAATAAATGGTTCAGTTGTTTTGCTTATCATACTTTGGGAAGGGTGTGAATGTAGGCCTAATATATTAATATAGTTTAGGAAGTATATATATGGAGGGTATTATTTTTGTAGGTGTTAAACTGACATAGATCAATTATTCTCCCTATCTCCAGCTGGATCCTATATGATAGGGGATAATCCTGTATGTAAGGGAATAATCAGGTGACAAGGAAAGAATATTAATCTAGAAGACAATTTAAAAACCTGGAACACAAAAGGTACCTGTGTTTTAGCAGGATGAACTAAGTCTGGTGGAAAGAGAAAGGGGATATAGGGCATGAAGCATATGGGAAGATGTGTGGTGGGCAGGGGATGCACAAGACAGGTGAATCTTCAATTCGATCCAATTCACTAAGTTGCTCATTTTTTTTAAAGAGCTGAAGGTCAACATTCCATAGGGCAAAATAAATTTGAGTCCTAACGCTAGCTTTGAAGCTGCCAGACCTGTTATTAATTCTATGGTGACCTCTGTCACCACTCTTCAGTTCCACTTTGGGGAGTGGCAGCAGGACAAGTCTTCCTTGTCCTTGCTCTTCCTTGTCTTGCACTGCTTTACCAAGAACCTCCAGGTTGGTGAGTACCTGAGGTTGAAGGGACGCCTCAAACTAAAGGACAGAATTAAGCGCTCATGCATGCTCTGTTAAGACAGCCAAGTTCCTGGTTCCCAGGTCGTGAGAATGTATCCTGGCTTTACTGGGAGACAGCAAGGATGGTAGAAATTACGATCACTTAAATCCAAGGGCACTCAGGGGCATCACAGACGTTAGACACTATCTATATAGTTAACTGCTGATGAGCATGTCCAACAGGCTTAGTCCCATCACCTGGTTATTTTGCCGAGGTGGTATTTTGGGAAAAGGATGACACTTAACGCGCTCTTAGTCCAAAACTCAGGATTAGAAAATGCAAGCGGTACTGGGCAGGGGGTGGTGGCGCAGTAAATTAAGTGTTGCCTAGGCAGCTAAAACATGAGCACGTGAGATCTCCGCCCATGGATGTTCTCGTCAGTGGAGCGATGACCTAAAGACCTAAAGACCTAAAGAAGGCATAACTAAGTCGGGTTCCGCAGGATGAACTCAGAGGAGTTACCTGAAACCCGTAGGCACTTCTGAAGGGCGAAAGGGTAGGAAATCGCCTCAACAGCGGGTTCAATACGTAGCCAGCCATCTTGACGTACACCCAGGGTAGAAATGGGCGGAAAGGCGACTGCGCACGCGCAAAGATACTGACCCGGGTAGGGTCAAGGAAGCGCCCGCACTGCGGAAGGCATGCGCGCGTTTGCGTCAGAACGGAAGCGTAAAAGGAGGGGCCGTGGAGAGAAGTTAATTTCAACTGCGTCATAATTGAATTAGGCCTCAAAATTGCTTTTTTTCTGCACTAGTCACTAGGACTCTTAGATTCCATAATTAAAGTATGCCTTTGAAGCATTTTCGAAAGGGATTTTTACCGGAATCTTTACAGTGCGCATGCGCTCGTTCGTTTCTACCAACCCTGAGTGAGAACTGTTTGCCAGGGCGGAAGTGGTGGAAACAGAGGAAAAGGATGTGCTAGGCTCTCTGGTCACGAGTCCACTACGGGAGTGGGAGGGCCCCCCCACCCCGCAAGAAGGAGGCGGAAGTTATACCGGAGGAAGAGGCTGTCCTAAGCCGAAGGAAGGCTAGCCAATCAGCTGCCGAGTTGTCCTTTGTGTTAGCCAATAAGTTTACGCCTCGCGCACAATGTCTCGCGACAAGGGCGTTTCACTAGCACGTTTGAGCGCGTGGGGCGGCGTCCGGGTATAAAAGACTCCGCCCGAGCGGGCTGCCGCCATTCTGGGGTTCGTTTAGAGGTAAGTTTGGATATCTTGCTGTTTGGAGGTTAGAATTTTTCAGGGTACGTTGGATGGGAATTGGGACAGGAAAGGTCTGATGGGAGAGCCACGGCTTATCTAAAGCGGCTGTATTTGGGGTGGTACACGAATATGTCTTTTGGGATAGCAAAGATGGTACTTTGGGGTATTCTAAAGCGACCCGTACTGATTACATCTTTCTCCCTTGTGTTCCTTTTATCCTAGGTTGAATTTTCTCGGAGAAAGACAGGCCGGCCACGAGGAAAACAGAAACAAGCCGCAGCAACATCTTAAGCCCTTGAAAGGATCCTGAGGGGGGAAAAGGGAAAACAGCAGCCACCAGCCCAACCACTTGTGTCTTCTGCCCCTTCCCACCTATCTTGCCCACTCCACCAGCCCACGCTGCTTGGGACTTGAACTCTGTGGCCGAAGGACCGTCACCACATAACTTCAAAAATAATCAACCACCCTCCCTTCCCAAAACCACCCAATTTCACTCATCCAGCATTTACTTTTTTGAGTCCACTCAGAATTTTTTCTACGACCCCCTCTCCCGAAATGGAGTTGGGTGGGGGGAAAATGAATACTGAGTTGGCCTTTACTTTTTAAGAGATTTTTTTGATCCAGTGAGGCCCCCCAAATAATTGAGTTTTGGGTCCTGGTTGATTGTTTTATTTTTTTTCCTCCAAAATTTTACCCCCTCCCCCCTGAGCCCGAGGTGCTGACGTCGCAAAAATATTGGATAGTAAGTGTCGAATTTTCAAAAACCAGCCTTGCAACAAGAAATCAACGTTTCCCGTTGTGAAACCAAAAATAATGAGAGGAAGAAATAATGACCATAGAACTGGAGAAGGACCAATCCGGTCACCTAATCTCCATTAAGAAAAAAAGGGCCTTTGGGTCTAAACAGTCTAGTAATCTCTCCCTTACCACCTCTTCCCTGCCCTGCTGCAGGCAAGGAGAAGGGTGCAGGGAGGGCCAGCAAGTGAGGATTGTGATGGTTAACCCTTGGTAATCCAACAAATTTCCAGACTGCCAAAGCATAAGTGTTTGCTCTTTATAAGGAGGAATGGGTTTCCTTCCTCTGGTTAGCAGTCTTCAAAAGGGTTAATGAGCTCACATACAAAAGATGGTGGATCTTGTGGCCCAGAAGTCCCACTTCTTTGTGTGTGAGACAAGCAGGGCGCCTTTCAATTTGCCAGATTAATAAGCAATCTGTACATAAAGATTGCAGGGTAAGGAGATGGGCAGAGAAATACGAGCTGGCTATGACTTAAGTTATGGTTAAATCCTCTCAATTTTAATGTAATTTGTTCGATAATATTGTATGGCTAAAATAACGTGGCAATCTAGGAATAAAGATTGCAAGACACTTATAAATTTAGGACAAAATATAATCTTAGTACCAGTACATACAATATAATGGGGAGGTAAATGTCTTGTAATTGTTGCAGGTTGCGTAGGTTATTTAAAAGCAAAAATGATTAACATTTTAACTTGATACTTTACGGCGGGACAGTTAATGTAGAGGGTGGGTACTTTGGGAAATGTGGAATTCAGGAGTATAATTTTAAAAGCCATTTAGTACCATTGAATGCTAGCTTTCTAAAAGATTTGTGTCGTTAAAAGAATTTTTTTTCTTCCCTGCTTCAATATGGCGACCTTTCCTTGTCCTTTTGTCTTCCAAGCGGCGTTGCAGGTTATGTCTTGACCCATTTTTCTCATGTCCTCCCACCTCAACCCTATTTGTTGAGAGGGATCCAAGTCCTCCCCCTTTCCCTTTATAGCTTTCCCTTTATAGGGAGGATGGGGGTGGTCGATGGTAGCAAATTGCAAATTCAATTCTTACCGCAGAAAATTGTTTTAAGTATTTTAATTGCTTTTATTTTCACTACGCTATTACAGATTAAAAGTAGGTCAAAGATTACTCAGGATGGGCGATTGGCTTCTGGTTTTTTTTATTTTAAAAAGTGTGTGATAATGTAATCGCAGCTATCGGCAGGGTCGGAGTGGCTTTTAATTTTTTGAGTCCTCTTCTCCATTACAAAATGGCGTCCCTCCTTTGTTTTTCTCCCCCTTTAGCCACCCAGAGCTAGGGCGGCCTTAGAAACTTGGTCAAGGGGGAGGAGCTGCATTGAAAGGTGATGTAATCCGCTTGCTTCTTCCTATCTCCACCCTCTAGAAACTCCTCCCATTGGCAGATGCCTTCTGTACTCCCTACCCACTTTGCTGCTAGAAAGAAGACATTTCCCTTGATTTCTTTAGTTCTAATCCTGTAAGATATTTATCTTTCAGGGATAGAAGCTTATAGGAATTAGGTATCGAAGCTGCCCATCTCTTTGGGTAGCTCTAGTTTTTGTATTTAGCAATCAAATCCGTTGCTTTTATTTTCACCCTCCTTCACTCATCACAACTACTTGGAAGTTTACCCCTCTCCAGTTACAAGCGGTGAAAAACCAGTCAAGCCTCAACTGTACTTTGTGTGTGTGTGTGTGTGTGTGTGTGTGTGGGGAGACTGGGGAAAGACACAGGGCTTGTAACGAGTAGACAATTGAGGACCTAATGAAGCTGAAATGTGCCATTTCTACTCATAATCCAGTTTTTGGATCTCCTGCAGTTGATTGCTTTGTAATAAGAATCTGTGGGAGGGTGAATACTTCAGAACTTTCTTCTAAATCACTCATGTTCCCACCTCTCAATTTGGGGATAAACTCTTTGTATTTAGTGCTGTATCAAGTTCTCCAGTTGCTTAGTTCCTGTACACTGGTACTAGGATGAAAAGTGAATCTTTAGGAAAGGAGGCTGCAGTTGTAAACTCGAGGCAGGGGCAATCAAGCTACGGTTTCTGGTAAGCAAACATTTCTGGTATTACATTTCACAATCTTCATTTCTTTTTTTCTTAAAAACCACCTTTTTTGAATTTCTTTTTCTTATCTAAAAGAAATTCCTTAAGGGCATTGATGAAAGAAGTAATATCCTCTTCATTTTTCTACTTGTTTAGCTTTAGTGCTGTGGCAATTGGTGCATGTTGAAAACCACGCCCTGAGGGTGGTATTGGGTGTCTGTTTTTGTCTCTCTTTTTCTCCCAACTTTTTCAAAAAGTCAAATATTTAGCAGACTGTCCATATATTTTTCATTTTTAAAAGTCCTGCATTGAAGTGGGGGTGTGGGGGTTCTAGGCAGAACTGGAAAGTCATCTTGTACAATTCTTATGATGACTTGGATGAAACAGTGCTAGTTTTCTGTTGGGTATAGATTCTCAAATTATTAAACTTCTAGATTGGATGGGAGGAGCTCTTCCACATGTCTATTGACCGCAAGTCTTTTTTTTTGTTTTTTAAAGCAGTTTTCCATGTGTCTCTGCAGCATATCTACCTTGGAGCTGAGCATTCCACCCACTGGGGTTCCTGATCTCTGTTGAGCAGGGAATTAATAAAGAAGATATTCCTTAATATAAAAGATGGTTTTCTAGGGTCACCATATCCATCCAGAGAACTGAGGAGAACTTAATCTAATAATGTGTGGCCCTTGTAATATGTGGCCAGAAGCTATTCTGGGAAACAGAAGAAAAGGGAACAAAGCATTTTCATTTCCAGAAGTACTGAGGCCCCTAGGTTAAGATAAACATTGGACTCCTTTCTACTTTTGTTAGAAGGTAGTTGTGATCATTTTTTTAAAGGCTCAGGCTTGCATAGAATTTTTTTCCTGGACCAGTTCAGTACCATTTCATTGGTGACAGGTATGGAATAACTAGCCAACATAGATATATATATATTTTTCCACCTTTTTATACCAAATAACCCTCAAGAAATTCATTTTGCAGTCAGGAGTAAGAATTTTATCTCTTAAAAAAAAAAGTAGGAAATTGCCCAGTGCCTTGGGCCAGTGGTGCATGGCTCTGCCTGTAACATCCTCTGAAGAAAGCCTAGCTTGAACAAGCTAGAGGTAGGCCAGAGA